GGATTTGAGTCCCTGGCGGCGTAGTGTGTTACTGATGGTAGGCTTTGTTACTTTGGTCCCAGCTCTCTGCAGGTCATTCACTAGGTCCCCCCGTGTGGTTCTGGGATTTTTGTTCACTGTTCTTGTGATCATTTTGACCCCACGGGGTGAGATCTTGCGTGGAGCCGCAGATCGAGGGAGATTATCAGTGGTCTTTTATGTCTTCCATTTCCTAATAATTGCTCCCACAGTTGATTTCTTCAAACCAAGCTGCTTACCTATTGCAGATTCAGTCTTCCCAGCCTGGTGCAGGTCTACAATTTTGTTTCTGGTGTCCTTTGACAGCTCTTTGGTCTTGGCCATAGTGGAGTTTGGAGTGTGACTGTTTGAGGTTGTGGACAGGTGTATTTTATACTGATAACAAGTTCAAACAGGTGCCATTAATACAGGTAACGAGTGGAGGACAGAGGAGCCTCTTAAAGAAGAAGTTACAGGTCTGTGAGAGCCAGAAATCTTGCTTGTTTGTAGGTGACCAAATACTTATTTTCCACCATAATTTGCAAATAAATTCATTACAAATCCTACAATGTGATTTTCTGGAGAAAAAAAATCTCAATTTGTCTGTCATAGTTGACGTGTACCTATGATGAAAATTACAGGCCTCTCTCATCTTTTTAAGTGGGAGAACTTGCAGAATTGGTGGCTGACTAAATACATTCTTTCCCCACTGTATGCCTGCAACAACCTTCCCTGCTCAGTCACTGGTCTCTCGCCTTTCGGGTGTTCGATGGGATATCGGCCCCCGCTCTTCCCTGAGCAAGAGGACAAGGTCAGCATACCCTCGGCCCAGATATCCATCCGCCACTGTCGCCGTACCTGGAAGAGAGCCCGGCATGCTCTTCTCCGGGTATGGACGACAGGCGGACCGCCATCGGACCCCGGCTCCCCATTGTCGTCTCGGGCAGAGGGTATGGCGGACCACTCGGGATCTGCCCCTCCGGGTGGAGTTCCGCAATCTTTCCCCCCGTTACATCGGCCCTTTCCCCATCTCTAAGATTCTTAGCCCCGCACCCTCCGTATACATCCCTCTTTTCATGTATCAAGGATTAAACCTCTGTCTCACAGCCCTCTGTCTCCTCTTTCCAGTAAACTAATGGACAACAACACTTAAGCTTCTACTTCCAGCTTATACAAACTATATAAATTTTACGGACACAGTATATTTTAAAATAGCTCTCTTTTGTTTGTTTTTAGTCCCATCCTTCAGCTACCCTCAACCCATCCTATCTATCTCTGAAGACCATCCAGTTTTGATTTATATTTGCTATATATTTTTCAACTCTGCTGTTTCATAAAGGTTCTGAACCTATATACAAAATCAGAACTGTTTGTGGTCGCCATTGAACATTCACGTGTCCTGGTCTCCGTCTGCCCAAAATAAATTATTAACCCGAGTGGAGAGTCAAAGGACAATTGTGGAGGAGTTCCCGGGGTTCAAACCAAATCTGTTAAAGTACAGGGCAGGGGAATTGATGAACAGTGGGGCATTTATCATATGTTACTGTTTAAGTACCTTAAGTTGGTTTCTGTAAACATTTACTTTGATTAATTTATGGCACCTTTTATTATGTTTTTTAGAATATTTTTAGCAATTTTGAATGTATAGTTTCTTTATTGAATTTGATTGTTTCCGTAGGAGGGGCTATGGCAATTTATAGGCTGGGGTAGAGCTCATCCCGGACCTGGAGTCGCGAGCAGACCATCATAAACAGATTCCACTAGCTTCCATAGCCACCGAGTCAGATTCCACAGCCACAAAGTCAACATTTTATTTAAGGTTAGGCATAAGGTTAGCAGTGTGGTTAGGTTAGGGTTATGGTTAGGTTTAAAATAGAATTTTAAGAACATCAATTGTAGAAATGGGCGGGGTTTATGACTTTGTGGCTATGGAAGCTAGTGACGACCATGAAATGCTGCATTCACGTGCTGTCACGCCCTGGCTCTGGGGACTCTCGTATGTTGAGCCAGGGTGTTCATTTGTTTATGTTCTAGTTGTTGTATATCTATGTTGGCCAGGGTGACTCCCAATCAGAGACGGCTGTAGCTCGTTGTCTCTGATTGGGAGTCATACTTAGGTAGCCGTTAGGCATTCATTGTTTGTGGTTTCTTGTTCTTATTTTGGTTTGTGTTCAACCGTAGACATCACATTTTCGTCTGTTGTTTTGATCGTGTGATCATTCGCTAATAAATATGTTCACCTTCAACGCTGCGCATTGGTCCTCCTCCTTAGACGATCGTGACAGAAGAAACCACCAGAACTGGACCAAGCAGCCTAGTGAGGAGCAGAGTGGGTGGACTTGGGAACAATGGAGGAAGAGCTTCGACTGGGTCAAGCCAAAGGAGGAGCAGAATGGCTGGAGTTGGAAGCAGGAGAGCGAGAGTTGGGCGAGAACGATAGAGGCCTGGTCCACGGGGAAGAGAGACCCCCAGAAATTTTTTAGGGGGGGGGCTCACGACGTCGGGGCAGCAGGAGGCCGCGATAGAGCGGCCCAGCGGGTTGCCAGAGGAGGCCGCCAGGTTACGGGGGCCACTGGTCGAAGAGGGGATGGAGGATGTAGAGGCACGGCGAGAGGTACTGGGGTGTGTTACCAGTCCGGTCCGGCCCGTTCCAGATCCCGGTGTAGGGCCAGTGGTGTGTGTCCCCAGTACGGTCCGGTCTATTCCTGCTCCCCGCACCAAGTCAGTGGTGCGCTTCGTCAGCCCGGCTCGGCCCGTTCCTGCTCCCCGCACCAAGTCAGTGGTGCGCTTCGTCAGCCCGGCTCGGCCCGTTCCTGCTCCCCGCACCAAGTCAGTGGTGCGCTTCGTCAGCCCGGCTCGGTCCGTTCCTGCTCCCCGCACCAAGTCAGTGGTGCGCTTCGTCAGCCCGGCTCGGCCCATTCCTGCTCCCCGCACCAAGTCAGTGGTGCGCTTCGTCAGCCCGGCTCGGCCCGTTCCTGCTCCCCGCACCAAGTCAGTGGTGTGCTTCGTCAGCCCAGTCCGGCCTGTCCCTGCTCCACGCACCAAGCCAGGGGTGTGCGTCGTCAGCCTGGTAAGGCCCGTTCCTCCTCCACGCACCAAGCCAGGGGTGCGAGTCGTCAGCCTGGTAAGGCCCGTTCCTCCTCCACGCACCAAGCCAGGGGTGCGCGTCGTCAGCCTGGTAAGGCCCGTTCCTCCTCCACGCACCAAGCCAGGGGTGCGCGTCGTCAGTCCAGCACAACCCGTGCCTGGGTCACCGGTGCCTGGTAAGGTCCCGGTCAACTGCTCCACTGTGGAGCTGAAGCTATCCGCTCCACGAGTGTGCAGTCCAGCTCCGGTCAGCAGGGCCAGACCGGACCAGGGGTACTTTGGGGGTTTAGAGAAGGAGTGGGGGTCAAGTCCGGAGCCGGATCCGCCGCCGAGGCGGAGTGCCCACCCGGTCCCTCCCCTGTTGGGTTTGGTTGGCGCGGTCGGAGTCCGCGCCTTTGGGGGGGGTACTGTCACGCCCTGGCTCTGGGGACTCTCGTATGTTGAGCCAGGGTGTTCATTTGTTTATGTTCTAGTTGTTGTATATCTATGTTGGCCAGGGTGACTCCCAATCAGAGACGGCTGTAGCTCGTTGTCTCTGATTGGGAGTCATACTTAGGTAGCCGTTAGGCATTCATTGTTTGTGGTTTCTTGTTCTTATTTTGGTTTGTGTTCAACCGTAGACATCACGTTTTCGTCTGTTGTTTTGATCGTGTGATCATTCGCTAATAAATATGTTCACCTTCAACGCTGCGCATTGGTCCTCCTCCTTAGACGATCGTGACACGTGCTCATCAGAATTTCCTATTTCCTAGTTGTGGTGTCGGAAATACAACTTTGTTTCATTCATGTGCTTTTTTGTGATTTGGTCGGAACAATTCTTCAACTAATAAGAGTTTAGCTAGCTTACTTAACATTGACAATATGGTCAAACTAGCTACATTATACATATTGATGAGGCTGTAGTGGTCAAAAATGTATTTGTTGTCATCCTTTGGTTGAAAAGGTTAAAAGGTCAGTGGTGAAACTTCACAACTCAACAACTCGGGCAGCAACATTTTCTCAAATCCCCTTGTAATTCTGACTTGGAGGGTTTTTCATGTGAAAATTCCCAGTCAGGACTAGGAATTTCAAAGAAATCCGACAGCACGTGAACACGGCAATGAACCTTTGATGCAGAAGCATGTAACGTTTAGAGCCCAAGACATATGGGTATCGACTGAAAGCCAAGTTGAAGTCTAGTCTCGTGTTTTTCAAATTTGTAATTTTTTGGTGTGGTTTTCCTGTTTTTGTCCCGCACTGCAAATATTCCTCACTGGATTCTGGAACTGCAACAACCTTTTTGTCAAATAAACCAATAGTGACACCATACCAGCCACTGCCAACCAACCCTACAGTTTAGCTAAGCAGTCTTTTATCAACATGTAATGCATTGAGTTAACCTGAAATCTGTAGACTTGTGGTACAGCAGCTTCTACTGCTGATTCGCTACCTTACAGGACAATGTGGTTTGGAGCTGTGTCTATGACCAGGGTTTATTTCCTGGACAACGTTTATTGTTTCTATTTCTATTCCTTTCTAGTCTAATTCTTTTTAAGACAGAGAGGGTTCATATCTGGATTTTGGCAAAACACCTTAAAATCACATAGACTGGAAGTCTAATCATGGGTTTACTTTGAAGCTGATTTTTGGTCTGGTCTGTAGAGATATTGGTCTAACTTTATTGGGAACAAATACATCAAGTAAGTACATAAATAAAGAATTGAAATCAATTAATTGGAATAAATCAAATCATATCAATTGTAATGACTGATCCACAGAATGTATTGTTACCAGCCAATCAGGGGTATGTTCACTTTAACAGAAGCAGAATGAGGGGTACAGACAGTGATGTGTATAGGAGTCATTGTCTTTGGTGCCTCGGTCCTTGACACATACATTTGTGTACAGGTACTATAACACAGAAACACAAACCACACATGGCTCTTCATCTCTCCCTCCTCCTCCTCCTCTTCTCCCGACTCTCAGGTAAGGGTAACATGTTTTTATGAAGTGAAAAAGTCTCATGGTTCAGTGCGCTGCTGCTTGAAGTCAGACAAAATATTAGCTAGCCTACATATTCAGCCCACACTCATCCCTGCCATACCAGCCATTTTGTACACTACTCACTCCGACTGTTGTCCTTGTCCACCTGAATGGGTAATTGGTAGACCACCTTATCAGTTGACCAAAAGGACTGAGTCTAAATGTGTTTTCTGTTGCTGTGTCTGCCGGTACCCAGGCAGGGGAGTACGGTGTGTCCACAGTGAGTAAGGTGTCTGTGAAGACAGGAAACTCCATCACCATCCCATGTCGCTATAATCTGAGATACATAGAATATGTCAAATACTGGTGTCAAGGAGATTACTGGAATTCTTGTTCTGCTCTAGTACGCACAGACCAACCAAAGATATCTGGGACGGTGTCAATCTCTGATGATGTCACCCGAAGAATCTTCTCTGTTACCATGACTGATCTGCAGCCAGAGGACTCTGGGTATTACTGGTGTGCTGTGGAGACTACAGGAAGAGATCAACATACATACTTGCACCTGTCAGTTACCACAGGTTAGCTCCCCATACCTCTCCTCAATCACACTGTTTTTTTATTTGTTCAGTATGACACAGCTATGTAGCTATTGATTTGGGGAAGACTGTTTTAAGGCTCTAAATACAATGTATTTACATGGCTATACATATAGGCAGATACAATGTCTGTATGGAGTGTGTTTTCATTGTGGGTATACATTGTTATACTGTGGAGAACAGAAACACTTTATTATGAAGGGTTTCTACATAAGGACTTCATAACACATTCATAAGCCATGCATAATGAAATCAAAATCACAACCAAATGCTGATTTATTAATTATCTTTGAGACATTAAATTGAAATACTGTAGAATTCCATTCTTCCTATTGAAGACCGCTCCTTCTGAGGAGTACCAATATGGCGGACGGTGGCTTCAAAGCCTCTCATTGGCCAATACATAGCATCAGCAATCTAGTGTTTGTATACACTGAGTGTACAAAACATTAGGAACTCCTTCCTAATATTGAGTTGCACCCCCTTTTGACCTCAGAACAGCCTCAATTCGTCAGGGCATGGACTCTACAAGGTGTCAAATGTGTTCCACAGAGATGCTGGCCCATGTTGATGTCACGGATACGGCCGAGGCTGCCCCTCCTCCTCGTTCGGGTAGGCTTCGGCGGTCGTCGTCACCGGAGTACTAGCTGCCACCGATCGATGTTTCTGTGTCTCACTAGTTCTGTCTGTATTGTTCACACCTGTTACTCATTAGGCTTATTAGTTTCCCTATATTACCTCTGTTTTCCCTCCTGAGTGTGTGCGTGATTGTTCTTTGTTATGTCGTCTGTTGAGCTGTTGTTTTTGCTCTTCCCTGCGTGGAGGGTTTGCTATATTTACTTGGAGTCGAGTAAAGCCATTTATTCTCAGTTCTGTGTCCTGCGCCTGATTCCGTTTCCCCACTGCACCCAGACGCTGACAGAATCACGCACCCGTTATGGAGTCAGCAGGCACGCCCGATCCCAGCGCTTCGTTGGAGGAACGCATCCACCAGCACGCGACCATGCTGCAGCGACTAGGTTCGGCTCTGGATCAAGTGATCCACACCATGGATCGATGGGAGAGAGTTGGGTTTTCTACACCTCCTCTTTCGCCGATTTCTCTTCCATCAAGATCCCCAAACCCTGGGTCCAGTGGTCTTCGGCTCTCGCTCCCGAGGGAATACGATGGGACAGCTGCCGGGTGTAAGGGTTTCCTGCTCCAGGTGGAACTTTACCTGGCCACCATCCACCCGGCTCCCTCGGGATACGAGAGCGTGTCCGCCCTCATCTCCTGTCTGTCGGGCAGAGCCCTGGAATGGGCCAACGCGGAGTGGGGTGGAATAGACGCTGAGTCCGTTCGTTATGAGGACTTTACCCGCCGTTTCCGGGCAGTATTCGATCATCCGCCTGGAGGGAGAGCAGCGGGGGAGCGTCTGTTTCACCTCAGCCAGGGAAGGAGGAGCGCACAGGAATACACCCTGGATTTCAGGACACTGGCAGCCAGCGTGGGATAGAACGAGAGGGCCCTGATTGATCACTACCGATGCAGTGTATGGGAGGATGTTCGTCGGGAGCTGGCCTGCAGGGACACTAATCTTAACCTGGACCAGCTGGTAGATTTGTCGATCCGGCTGGATAACCTGTTGGCTACCCGCGGACGTCCAGATCAGGGTCCGTCCAGTCCATCCCCCAGCACTTCCGAGTCCACACCTATGGAGCCTGAGTTTTCCCCACATTCCCAGCATAGGGCGCTCGTAGATTCCGGCGCAGCTGGGAATTTCATGGACAGATTGGTTGCGCATAGATTAGGGATTCCTATATTGCCGTTAGATGTGCCCTTCCCCATACGTGCCCTAGATAGTCGCCCATTAGGGTCAGGTATGGTTAGGGAGGTCACAGCTCCACTTCGGGTGGAGACACAGGGGGGTCATGAAGAGAGAATTAGTCTCTTCCTTATTGATACCCCTGCGTTTCCCATGGTGCTGGGCCTTCCCTGGCTAGCCACCCATGACCCCAGTATTTCGTGGCAACAGAGGGCTCTTAAGGGATGGTCACCTCAGTGCTCGGGAAGGTGTGTAGGTGTTTCCGTATGGGGGCAACCATGGTGGAGAGTCCAAACCATGTCTCCCCAATGCACATTCCCTCAGAATATGCCGATTTGGCGACTCAATTACCACCCCATCGACGAGGGGATTGTGCGATAGATCTCCGTGAGGGTGCTGCACTTCCCAGGAGTCACGTGTATCCTCTGTCACAGGAGGAGACGGTGGCTATGGAGACATATGTCACCGAATCTCTGGGACAGGGATACATTCGGCCCTCCACTTCCCCTGCCTCCTCAAGTTTCTTTTTTGTGAAGAAAAAGGATGGAGGTTTACGCCCGTTTATTGACTATCGAGGTCTAAATCAGATAACCGTAAAATACAGCTATCCTCTTCCTCTCATTGCTAGTATGACGGAGTCATTGCACAGGGCCCGCATCTTCACAAAATTGGACCTCAGGAGCGCGTACAATCTGATCCGTATCCGGGAGGGGGACGAGTGGAAGACGGCATTTAGTACCACCGCTGGTCACTATGAGTACCTCGTCATGCCGTACGGGTTGATGAATGCTCCCTCAGTCTTTCAATCTTTTGTCGATGAGATTTTCAGGGACCTGCACGGACAGGGTGTAGTGGTGTATATAGATGATATTCTCATATACTCCGCTACACGCGACGAGCATGTGTCCCTGGTGCGCAAGGTGCTTGGTAGACTGTTGGAGCATGACCTGTACGTTAAGGCTGAGAAATGTCTGTTCTTCAGACAGTCCGTCTCCTTCTTAGGATACCGCTTGTCAGAGTCAGGGGTCGAGATGGAGTGTGACCGCATTTCAGCCGTGCGTAATTGGCCGACTCCTACCATGGTAAAGGAGGTGCAGCGATTTTGGGGTTTTGCCAACTACTACCGGAGATTTATCCAGGGCTTTGGCCAGGTAGCAGCTCCCATAACGGTTCGGTGCACCTGCAGTGGTTTTTGGTCAGCTGAAGGCGCTGTTCACCACGGCTCCCGTGCTGGCTCATCCGGATCCATCCTTGCAATTCATAGTCGAGGTGGACGCGTCCGAGGCGGGGATAGGAGCTGTACTGTCTCAGCGCTCGGGTACGCCTCCCAAACTCCGCCCCTGTGCTTTCTTCTCGAAGAAGCTCAGCCCGGCGGAGCAAAACTACGACGTGGGGGATCAGGAGCTGTTAGCTGTTGTGAAAGCTCTTAAGGTGTGGAGACATTGGCTTGAGGGGGCTAAACACCCTTTTCTCATTTTGACTGACCACCGCAATCTGGAGTACATTCGGGCAGCGAGGAGACTGAATCCTCGTCAGGCAAGGTGGGCCATGTTTTTCACGCGTTTTGTGTTCACCCTATCGTATAGACCAGGTTCCCAGAATGCTAAGGCAGACGCTCTGTCCCGGCTATATGACTCAGAGGATCGGACCAGGGAGCCTACTCCCATACTTCAGGCTTCTTGTCTGGTGGCGTCGGTGGTATGGGAGGTTGACGCGGACATCGAGCGGGCGTTACGCACGGAGCCCACTCCCCCCCAGTGTCCAGTGGGTCATGCGTACATTCCGTCAGAGGTTCGCGATCGTTTGATTTATTGGGCTCACACGTCACCTTCTTCTGGCCATCCTGGCATTGGTCGGACAGTGCGCTGTCTTAGTGGGAAGTACTGGTGGCCCACCTTAGCTCAGGATGTGAGGGTTTATGTTTCTTCCTGTTCGGTGTGCGCTCAGTGCAAAGCACCTAGACACCTGCCCAGAGGTAAATTACAACCTCTCCTCGTTCCACAGCGGCCGTGGTCACACCTATCGGTGGACTTTGTTACAGATCTTCCTCCGTCACAGGGTAACACCACGATCCTGGTCATTGTGGATCGGTTTTCTAAGTCCTGTCGTCTCATTCCTTTGCCCTATAGTGTCTGATCGGGGTCCCCAGTTCACATCGAGGGTCTGGAAGGCATTTATGGACCATCTGGGGGTCTCGGTCAGCCTGACCTCAGGTTTTCACCCCGAGAGTAATGGGCAGGTGGAAAGAGTAAACCAGGATGTGGGTAGGTTTCTGAGGTCGTATTGCCAGGACCGGCAGGGGGATTGGTCAGTTTACATCCCCTGGGCAGAAATGGCACAAAATGCCGGAAGCTGGATTGGCGGTTTGTGGGGCCCTTTAAAGTCCTGAGGAGGTTGAACGAGGTTTGTTATAGGTTACAGCTCCCCCCTGATTACCGTATTAACCCCTCGTTCCATGTGTCTCTCCTCAGGCCGGTGGTAGCTGGTCCGCTCCAGGAGTCCGAGGTGCGGGAGGTTCCTCCGCCCCCATTGGACATTGAGGGGGCACCGGCGTACTCGGTCCGTTCCATCATGGATTTGAGGCGTCGGGTTGGAGGCCTGCAGTATCTCATGGAGTGGGAGGGGTACGGTCTGGAGGAACGGAGCTGGGTTCCCAGGAGGGACATCCTCGATCCCTCCTTGTTAAGGGAGTTCCATCGTCGTCATCCGACTCGCCCTGCTCCGCGTCCTCCTGGCCGTCCCCGAGGCCGGTGTCGACGCACGGCTGGAGCCGCGCGTCAGGTGGGGGGTACTGTCACGGATCGGCCGAGGCTGCCCCTTCTCCTCGTTCGGGCAGGCTTCGGCGGTCGTCGTCACCGGAGTACTAGCTGCCACCGATCGATGTTTCTGTGTCTCACTAGTTCTGTCTGTATTGTTCACACCTGTTACTCATTAGGCTTATTAGTTTCCCTATATTACCTCTGTTTTCCCTCCTGAGTGTGTGCGTGATTGTTTTTTGTTACGTCGTCTGTTGAGCTGTTGTTTTTGCTCTTCCCTGCGTGGAGGGTTTGCTATATTTACTTGGAGTCGAGTAAAGCCATTTATTCTCAGTTCTGTGTCCTGCGCCTGATTCCGTTTCCCCACTGCACCCAGACGCTGACAGTTGACTCCAATGCTTCCCACAGTTGTGTGAAGTTGGCTGGATATCCTTTGGGTGGTGGACCATTCTTGATAAACATGGGAAACGGTTGAGCGTGAAAAACCCAGCAGCGTTGCAGTTCTTGACACACTCAAACCGGTGCGCCTGGCACGTACTACCATACCCCGTTCAAAGGCACTTAAATATTTGTTATTGCCCATTCACCCTCTTAATGGCATACATACACAATCCATGTCTCAATTTGCTCAAGGCTTAAAAATCCTTCTTTAACCTGTCTCTTTTCCTTCATCTACACTGATTGAAGCGGATTTAACAAGTGACATTAATAAAGGATACTAGCTTTCACCTGGATTCACCTGGTCAGTCTATGTCATGGAGAGAGCAGGTGATCTTAATGTTTTGTACACTCAGTGTACATCATTTTGTATGATATGACATGCGTTGCTTCTCCCTTGGTGAATTTGTGTCTGTACCTCTGTGTTCAGGTACTCCAGGACTCTATGTGGACCAACAGGAGGTGACTGGAGTTGAAGGAGGGAGTGTCACTGTCTGTTGTCACTATAGTAACACTGTGGCTAAGAAGTGGTTGTGGTGTAAGATGGGTCTCTACTATGTCCCCTTGGTGGGAAGATATTCAGGTCTTTTAGATGGAACATCAGTGACATCACAGCAGACCATTGATAACAACAACAGACACATTTTAACAGTGACTCTGAATGGATTGAATATGGGGGATACTGGCTGGTACTGGTGTTCCACAGGTGACCTACAGATGCCTGTTCACATCACTGTCAATCAACTGACCACAACACAGAGTATCACACCTGCCTCCACCACCACCCCTACCCCCACTTCCACCATCACCATCTCCACTGTCAATCAACTGACCACAACGCAGACTGACACCATCATCAGTAAGTAATGAGAGACCAGTTTTAACCTAATATAGTGAAATTAGTCTTTCAAATTCACAGAATTCAACTTAAGTCATTTTGCATACATGATACATTGATATATCACGCTGAAATTGTGTCACTTCAACACTAATAAATGAAATACAGAAGCTGTTGAACCTTGACAGAAAAGCTGACCCCTCAAGACATCTCTCTGACCTCACCCACAACTGTAGTTCCTGCTGTGTCCTCTTCCACCTCTCAGGCCCCAGTCAACAACACACACGATGGAGCCCAGGGGTAGGTGAACACTACCACCTCTTTAGTCGGTACTCAATAAGCAAAAAGGTCATTTATTTTAATTATTGGATGAATACATTGTGTTGTTTTAAAATAAAAAAATAAATGCCTTCTGTATGCCTCAGTCTTCAACTAACACTGTCTGGTTGCAATTTGCATAGTGTCATGTCCTCAAAGCAATGTTGTTCTTCTACAGATGGGAAAGAACACTCTTCTACCTTCCGAAAACTGTTAATGCAGTGCTCTTCCTCCTGTGCACCATCATTGCTGTGGTGAAGTTCACGGCAAACCGACTCTGAGGTCAAACAGGATGAGTAGAAACTAGATTTATTTAGCATTTGCAAATTTTTCATTGAGGGATATGTCTTTACCTTCTTCACCTTCTTCTCCTTCTCTAGCTTTATTGGTATATTTAAATTCTTTGCTAATAAACATTTTTTACTCTTCTCAAGATCATCTGTTACGAAATTCTGTGAAATTACAGTGCCTTCGGAAAGTATTCAGACCCCTTTACTTTTTCCACATTTTGTTATGTTACAGCCTTATTCTAAAATTGATTAAATAAATAAAAATCCTCAACAATCTACACACAATACCCCATAATGTTTTTTAGAAATGTTTGCTAATTTATAAAAAATTAAAACCAGAAATACATCATTTACATAGGTATTCTGACCCTTTGATATGAGACTCGAAATTGAGCTCATGTGCATCCTGTTTCCATTGATCATCCTTGAGATGGTTCTACATCTTCATTGGAGTCCACCTGTGGTAAATCAAATAAAGAATAATATGGTCAATTAAATTGATTGGACATGATTTGGAAAGTCACACACCTGTCTATATAAGGTCCCACAGTTGACAGTGTATGTCAGAGCAAAAACCAAGCCATGAGGTCCATAGAGCTCGGAGAGAGGATTGTGACGAGGCACAGATCTGGGGAAGGGTACCAAAATATTTCTGCAGCATTGAAGGTCCCCAAGAACACAGTGGCCTCTATCATTCTTAAGTGGATGAAGTTTGGAACCACCAAGACTCTTCCTAGAGCTGGCCGCTCGGGCAAGCAAATGGGGGAGAAGGGTCTTGGTCAGGGAGGTGACCAATAACCCAAAGGTCATTCTGACAGAGCTCTTGAGTTTCTCTGTGGAGATGGGAGAACCTTCCAGAAGGACAAGCATCTCTCCAGCACTCCACCAATCAGGCCTTTATGGTAGAGTGGCCAGACGGAAGCTACTCCTCAGTAAAAGGCACATGACAACCCTCTTGGAGTTTGCCAAAAGGCACCTAAAGACTCTCAGACCATGAGAAACAAGATTCTCTGGTCTGATGAAACCAAGATTGAATTCTTTGGCCTGAATGCCAAGCGTCACATCAGGAGGAAACCTGGCACCATCCCTACGGTGAAGCACGGTAGTGGCAGCGCCATGCTGTGGGGATGTTTTTCAATGGCAGGGACTGGGAGACTAGTCAGGATCGAGGTAAAGATGAACAGAGCAAAGTACAGAGAAATCCTTGATGAAAACCTGCTCCAGAGTGTTTAGGACCTCAGACTGGGGCGAAGGTTCACCTTCCAACAGGACAACGACCCTAAGCACACAGCCAAGACACAACACAGGACTGGCTTCGGGACAAGTCTCTGAATTTCCTTGAGTGGCCCTGCCTTGGCCTGGACTTGAACCTGATCGAACATCTCTGGAGCGATCTGAAAATAGCTTTGCAGCAATGCTCCCCATCCAACCTGACAGAGCTTGGGAGGATCTGCAGAGAAGAATGGGAGAAACTCATTAGTGACCTATTTTCCAGCAGAGGGTAACAGGATAATAGTGACTCTTGGTCCCAAAGAGCCCTTAGAGAATGTTGGAAGCTGAAAACATTGTAGTGACTATGAGTTTTGGGTTAAACTAGTATATATAATGCAATAGTTGCTATCTTTCACTGAAGGGGGCATGTACACAAATATTTTGAGCTTTCTTCAGGATAAAACACACACACGTTTGTTTTACTGTATTTGTGGGAATCAAAAAAGTATGCCCATTCAAAATCCTATTTTCCCTAACCCTAATGCTAATTCTAACCTAAACCCTAACCGTAACCCTAAACCTAACCCCTAAACCTAAAATAGCCTTTTACCTTTTACCAGTGAAATGTCCCCACTTGTCCCAACTTGTCCTTGTTTTACTGTCATTGTAAGGACATCTGGTCCCCACAAGGATAGTAGAACTAAACCACACACACACACACACACACACACACACACACACACACACACACACACAAAACAAGGTTACATTTTAATTTGTTTGTTTTTAGCATGATTTATGAATCCTTAGTTCTTGAGTTGTTTCGTAGTTGATTTTTGGTCGTCTGGTTTACTGTAACAAATCCTCTCCTTGTTGAATCAGAGCCTTGGACTACTATTCTGTCTTTACCTTCTCCAGCTTTAATGGAAAATATAAATGCTTTGCTAATAAACATTTTTAAAGACATTATACTGTTCTCAAGATCATTTGTCACAAGATTATGTGCTCTGTGAGTTTAGGTGTGAAATTGTTGTATCAGAAATAGTTGGCTGTGTTGGAGCCAACAATAGAAATTATAACTCAGTAGTTAACATCATGTCATGGAATGAGTTTACCTGAAACCTCCAGCCTTCTGGTACTGCAACTTCCTGACATAACTTTAACACTTTAGGTTGGAGGACATCTGAGGTTTTGAGTTGTGTCTACTGTGACCAGGGTTCATTTCCTGTATAGAAGGCAGCCATCACTCCATCTCTGCAGCACCTGCCCTCTCAATTCTATACATTTCTTTGTGTAATCATTAGTGACCTATTTTCCAGCAGATGGTGAGAGGATAATCGTGACTATTGGTCCCAAAGAGCCCTTAGAGAAAGCTGAAAGGGGCAGTGCAGTCAAAATGTGAGTTTCCTGTTTGTTTTTAAATTATATTTCCACACTATGAGGTTGAAATAATACTGTGAAATTGTAACACATTTGGATAATGCCCTTTTAGTGTAAGAGCTTTTTGAAGAAAGAAACGCCAGGATTTTCAGACTGTTCAAGTGGGATGGAGTTTTGACCCACAGAATGACATCACAATCTGAAATGATTATTCTGATTCTGTTTTATTTGCATATGTATCCTCCTACTTTGAAGGGGTAAGCTGGGTAGGCTCTAGTCTATACAATCCTCTCCGCCAATCAGGGCTCTGTATTTAAATATATTTAAATTTGTATCAACACGCACACATGATCACACAGAGCATTTCAATGTCAAAAGGAGGCTCAGGAAAATAAATCATGAAAAATGTTTTCATGAAATGAACACAGACAGTGATTTAAAAATAAAATGAAACTGCATGGGGGCTTGAACAATGTTGTAGTGACTATGAGTTTGGGTTAAACTAGTCTATATAATGCAATAGCTGCTATCTGCCACTGAGGGGGTCATGTACACACAAACAGAAGCAGGAAGAGTTAAAGTGAGGTCTGTGAACATTGGGAAGTAGAGTAATTCTCGACTGGTGCCTTTGTCCTTGACTGATCTACACATTAGTACACAGATACTGTGTCACACACACAGACTCAAACCTTCACAACTCCCCACCTCTTTGACCTCTTTCATGGGGCCCATGCCCACCTCTTTCACCTCTATGATGGGGCCCATGCCCACCTCTTTCACCTCTATGATGGGTCTAATGCCCACCTCTTTCACCTCTATGATGGGGCCCATGCCCACCTCTTTGACCTCTATGATGGGGCCCATGCCCACCTCTTTGACCTCTTTGATGGGTCTAATGCCCACCTCTTTGACCTCTTTGATGGGGCCCATGCCCACCTCTTTGACCTCTATGATGGGGCCCATGCCCACCTCTTTGACCTCTTTGATGGGGCCCATGCCCACCTCTCTGACGGCCCCTTGTCCACCAGCTCTTTGATTTCTCCCTCCCCCTTGCTGTCTATCCTGCTCCTTGTTAAAGTAATTGCAAGTGTTCACACACACCTTTTTATATGGTGACCAATAGCTTAAAGTTTTGAAAAAACAGCCTTTTTGATGATCTGTTTTGAGTTTTGTACTAAGAGTTGTGAAATGTTACCACATACATGTGAAAATAGTATGAAAGCAATCAAAAAAAATTTCATGAATATTTTTAAAGACATTTTATTCTTCTCAAGATCATTTGTGATTTTGAGAGTGACATTCTGATGTATCTGAAGTAGTTTGCTGTATTGGAGCCAACAACAGAATGAATAGCTCAGTATTTAACATGACATTATGGCATGAGTTTAGCTTAAACTTGCAGCATTCTCAGCTAACTTTCACACTTTTGCTTAGAGGACATCTGTGGTTATGAGCTGTACATTTCCTGTATAGAAAAGGGAGAGAGACAGAGAGTTTTCTTGTTGGACGTAAAATAATATCAGACTGGGTTGTGGTCTGGAGGACCCTGAACCATGAACCTGGTTTAAAATGAGAGTTTGTGGAGGTCTTTATCTAGTACCCGTCACTACATCACTGTAGCACATGACCCCTCAAATCTATACATTTTTAGAATATGCAGTACATTTATCATATAGTTTCATATATACTGAAATATTGATTTTTGCCAATGGAAATGTGGTGCATGTCGCCCAATTATCGAATCTTTGTTTCTACTATGTTCCAGTGGAGAGCAGCAGGACAGTAGTGACTCTATGTCCCAAAACCCTTAGAGAAAGCTGAAATTCTAAAAAATAAATAACGGAAAACTGGTGAGTTCATATGTATTCACCGCCTTTGCTATGAAGTCCCTATATAAGATCTGGTGCAACCAATTACCTTCAGAAGTCACATAATTAGTTAAATAAAGTCCACCTGTGTGCAATCTAAGTGTCACATGATCTCATTATATATACACCTGTTCTGAAAGGCCCCAGAGTCTGTAACACCACTAAGCAAGGGGCACCACCAAACAAGCGGGCACCATGAAGACAAAGGAGCTCTCCAAATAGGTCAGGGACAAAGTTGTGGAGAAGTACGGATCAGGGTTAGGTTATAAAAAAAATATCAGAAACTTTGAACATCCCACGGAGCACCATTAAATCCATTATTAAACAATGGAAAGAATATGGCACCACAACATATCTGCCAAGAGAGGGCCGCCCACCAAAACTCACGGACCAGGCAAGGAGGGCATTAATCAGAGAGGCAACAAAGAGACCAAAGATAACCCTGAAGGAGCTGTAAAGCTCCACAGCGGAGATTGGAATATCTGTCCATAGGGCCACTTTAAACCGTGCACTCCACAAAGCTGGGCTTTACGGAAGAGTGGCCAGAAAAAAGCCATTGCTTAAAGAAAAAAATAAGCAAACACGTTTGGTGTTCGCCAAAAGGCATGTGGGAGACTCCCCAAACATATGGAAGAAGGTACTCTGGTCAGATGAGACTAAAATTGAGCTTTTTGGCCGTCAAGGAAAACTATATGTCTGGCGCAAACCCAACACCTCTCATCACCCCTGGTGGCAGCATCATGCTGTGGGGATGTTTTTCATCGGCAGGGACTGGGAAACTGGTCAGAATTGAAGGAATGATGGATGGCACTAAATACAGGGAAATTCTTGAGGGAAACCAGTTTCAGTCTTCCAGAGATTTGAGACTGGGACGGAGGTTCACCTTCCAGCATTACAACGACCCTAAGCATACTGCTAAAGCAACACTCAAGTGGTTTACGTGGAAACATTTAAATGTCTTGGAATGGCCTTGTCAAAGCCCAGACCTCAATCCAATTGAAAATATGTGGTATGACTTAAAGATTGCTGTACACCAGCGGAACCCATCCAACTTGAAGGAGCTGGATCAGTTTTGCCTTGAAGAATGGGAAAGAATCCCAGTGGCTAGATGTACCAAGCTTATAGAGACATACCCCAAGAGACATGCAGCTGTAATTGCTGCAAAAGGTGGCTCTATAAAGTATTGACTTTGAGGGGGGGGGGGGGGTAGTTATGCACGCTCAAGTTTTCAGTTTATTTGTATTATTTCTTGTTTGTTTCACCATTTAAAAAAAAATTGCATCTTCAAAGTGGTAGGCATGTTGTGTAAATCAAAATGTACAAACCCCCAAAAAATAAATTTTAGTTCCAGGCTGTAAGGCATCAAAATAGGAAAAATGCCAAGGGGGGTGAATACTTTCGCAAGCCACTGTAAATCTCAATCATTAACAAGCTGTTTTATAGTTTATAAGCAATGGGATTTCTTTTCTGCTGTGCAGATTCTGTTGAATTCCAACCTAAATGTGTTTTGTGTTGATGTGTCCACAGTGAGGCATGTGTCTGTGCAGGCCGGAGGCTCCATCACCATCCCATGTCACTATGATCTGAATCACATCAACCATGTGAAATACTGGTGTAAAGGATTCCTTTGGCATGGATGTTCTTATGTGGTACGCACTGACCATCCTAAGATCAGTGGTAAGGCCTCAATCTCTGATGACATCAACAAGAGAATCTTCACTATGACCATGACTAACTTGAAGTCATGGGACTCTGAGAATTACAGGTGTGTTGTGGTGATCAATGGAGGACCAGATATCAGGATACAATTGTTCTACCTATCTGTCACTCCAGGTAAATAGCCTATTACAACAAATGAAATGAGAAATGTGTAATCAGTCTGAAATTCATAGACAGAGATATACTGTATGTGTAGGTGCAAGAACTGACCATGTTTTGAAGCTGTACAGTGTTTTCTTACAATTACATTCTTTACAAACCACTGAGTAAAACAAGATTATATTTGGGGTCATGATGGGGTAACAGTTGAACTCTTTAAATTATTTAATAATCAATGGCTATATATAATTATTATGAATTCAAAAGACCAACAATGGATGTACCAATCACAGACTGCAGCTTTAAGGAATTTGTAAGGAGCCTGTTGTAAAAACACTTTTTTCTTCTCTGAATTCTTGTTTTTTACCTCTGTGTTCAGGTACTCCAGAACTCTATGTGGACCAACAGGAAGTGACTGGAGTAGAAGGAGGGAGTGTCACTGTCCGTTGTTACTATTGTAACTCTGGAGATACAGTGGGGAGAACAAGTATTTGATACACTGCCGATTTTGCAGGTTTTCCTACTTATAAAGCATGTAGAGGTCTGTAATTTTTATCATAGGTACACTTCAACTGTGAGAGACGGAATCTAAAACAAAAATCCAGAAAATCACATTGTATGATTTTTAAGTAATTAATTTGCATTTTATTGCATGACATAAGTATTTGACCACCTACCAACCAGTAAGAATTCCGGCTCTCACAGTTGAAGTTTACCTATGATAAAAATTACAGACCTCTACATGCTTTTTAAGTAGGAAAACCTGCAAAATTGGCAGTGTATCAAATACTTGTTCTCCCCACTGTATGAAGTGGTGCAGGATGGGTGGTGATTGTGTGAGTTTGAATTCTGGGACTTTACATGGAACATCACTGACATTAAACCAGACTAGTGATGCTAATAACAGAAAAGTCTTAACAGTGACTATGATTGGACTGAAGATGGAGAACACTGACTGGTATTGGTGTGAAGAGAGTATACTGTCAATAGATCATACTGTAAGAATATTGTAACATGTTTTGTGAATTTACATGCATTACAATATGTAATTTACTGTAAATGTAATTGTAAAGCATAGTGCATATCCTGTAGACTTACTGGTTCTCTTGGCGAAATGTTCACATGATCAAATTGACAGTTGATCTTTTCAGATTTGGGTGAACTAATCAGGCAGCCTCTGCCATGGTAAGGCCTCTGTTTACCACATGGTCAGCAACGATGGCCCAGACTTCATTAGACAGAACAGTTCTCTGCCGTCTGCCTCCCTCTCTCTGATGTCCACCTCTTTGATGTCTTTGACAGGGCCCATGCCCACCTCTTTGACCTCTTTGATGGGGCCCATGCCCACCTCTTTGACCTCTTTGATGGGGCCCATGCCCACCTCTTTGACCTCTTTGATGGGACCCATGCCCACCTCTTTGACAGGGCCCATGCCCACCTCTTTGACCTCTTTGATTGGGCCCATGCTCACCTCTTTGACCTCTTTGATGGGGCCCATGCCCACCTCTTTGACCTCTTTGATGGGGCACATGCCCCATCAAAACCTCTCTGACGGCCCCTTGTTCACGAGCTCTTTGATTTATTGCTCTCCCTTGCTGTCTATCCTGCTCCATATTGAAAGAAATTGCAAGTGTTCACACACACCCTTTTATATGGTGACCAATAGTGGTTACCACTATGTGAAATCAATTATTAATAATGAATAGTCATTATGTATGGTTATCATGTATCATACATGTCATTTAAATGTTTATACTATATAAATATACAATAATGCCTACCATTCAGCTGTTTTTCTAACCTCGTTAGCGTTAACGATAGGTAGTAAGTAGCTACTGTGCTCGAAATGTAGCTAGCTTGTTGCTACCTGGATAGCTACTAAACAATAGCTGGAACGACCTAGCGAACAGACGCGAACTGGCTGAGTCAATTCAGTGGCTAGCTTTGCACTTGGCTAGCTAACAGTAGCTGCTAGGGGTAAGTTATAACCTACATTTGTGTTTTGTTTTTATATACTGGTAGTCAGAGTCGTTCAAGGGAATTCAGGACATGGGTGACTAGTTAACGTTAGCTTGGCTCTCTCTGTGTGTTCGTGCCGTGGGAGGACGGGTTTCTTCGCTGGCAGAAAGCAATTGCTAGCTAGTATGCTAACTATTCTAGCTAACTAACTGGCTGAATAAGTTGACGACGGACTCGCTCAAGCTGTCCGGACTAGCCCACAACGTTAAACACGGACACGAATGATCTGCTTGGCGTGTTGACACACTTGTGGTTTGTTGTGGCCGACTATTGGTGGTAAATCATGTTGTTGGAGTCCGGCATGCTAGTTGGCTGTGGCGTCATATGTGCCCTGGACGGTTTTCACAGAAGAATACTGTACCAAGTTAGCTAGCTGAATAAACTAAGTTAGTCTATTCCTAGAAAACATTGAACCGCTGTAGTTTACAACAATTATAGTTTCTGAGGTGGAAGTTGGGAGAGTTATATTTGGGTGTTTCAGTGAAACGTAAGTGAGGGAGGCCCCGCTCTCTCGCTTTCCCAGATGTTTAGTTCATTTCATTCCGATCTCCTTTGCATTATTGTAGCCATTTTCTGTAGCCTGTCAACTATGCCTCTGTCTATCCCTGTTCTCTCCTCTCCGCACAGGCTAAACAAACGCCTCACACCGCGTGGCTGCTGCCGCTCTAACCTGGTGGTCCCTGCACGCACGACCCATGTGGAGTTCCAGGTCTCCGGCAGCCTCTGGAAATGCCGTTCTGCTGCCAACAAGGCAGAGTTCCTCAGCCTATGCTACCCTCCAGTCCCTCGACTTCTTGGCGCTGACGGAAACATGGATTACCACTGAAAACATTGCTACTCCTACTGCTCTCTCCTCGTCTGATCATGTGTTCTCGCATACCCCGAGAGCATCTGGTCAGCGGGGTGGTGGCGCAGGAATCCTCATCTCTCCCAAGTGGACATTCTCTCTTTTTCCACTGACCCATCTGTCTATCTCCTCATTTGAATTCCATGCTGTCACAGTCACTAGCCCATTCAAGCTTAACATCCTTGTCATTTATCGCCCTCCAGGTTCCCTTGGAGAGTTCATAAATGAGCTTGACGCCTTGATAATTTCATTTCCTGAGGATGGCTCACCCCTCACAGTTCTGGGCGACTTCAACCTCCCTACGTCTACCTTTGACTCATTTCTCTCTGCCTCCTTCTTTCCACTCCTCTCCTCTTTTGACCTCACCCTCTCACCGTCCCCCCTACTCACAAGGCAGGCAATACGCTTGACCTCATCTTTACTAGATGCTGTTCTTCTACTAATCTCACTGCAACTCCCCTCCATGTCTCCGACCACTACTTTGTATCCTTTTCTCTCTCACTCTCCTCCAACACTACTCACTCTGCCACTACTCAGATGGTAATGCGCCGTCGCAACCTTCGCTCTCTCTCTCCCGCTACTCTCTCCTCTTCCATCCTATCATTTCCCTCTGCTCAATCCTTCTCCCTCCAATCTCCTGATTCTGCCTCCTCAACCCTCCTCAACCCTCCTCTCCTCCCTTTCTGCATCCTTTGACTCACTATGTCCCCTATCCTCCCGGCCGGCTCGGTCCTCCCCTCCTGCTCCGTGGCTTGACGACTCATTGCGAGCTCACAGAACAGGGCTCCGGGCAGCCAAGCGGAAATGGAGGAAAACTAGACTCCCTGCGGACCTGGCATCTTTTCACTCCCTCCTCTCTACATTTTCTTCATCTGTTTCTGCTGCTAAAGCCACTTTCTACCACTCTAAATTCCAAGCATCTGCCTCAAACCCTAGGAAGCTCTTTGCCACATTTACATCACATTTACATTTTTGTCATTTAGCAGACGCTCTTATCCAGAGTGACTTACAGGAGCAATTAGGGTTAAGTGCCTTGCTCAAGGGCACATCGACAGATCACCTAGTCGGCTCGAGGATTAGAACCAGCGACCTTTCGGTTACTGGCACAACGCTACTAACCACTAAGCTACCTGCCGCCCCCAGCCACCTTCTCCTCCCTGCTGAATCCTCCCCCCCCCCCCTCCTCCCTCTCTGTGGATGACTTCATCAACCATTTTGAAAAGAAGGTTGACGACATCCGATCCTCGTTTGTTAAGTCAAATGACACTGCTGGTCCTGCTCACACTGCCCTACCCTATGCTTTGACTTCTTTCTCCCCTCTCTTTCCAGATGAAATCTTGCGACTTGTGACGGCCGGCCACCCAACAACCTGCCCGCTTGACCCTATCCCCTCCTCTCTTCTACAGACCATCTCCGGTGACCTACTCCTTTACCTCACCTCGCTCATCAACTCATCCTTGACCGCTGGCTATGTCCCTTCCGTCTTCAAGATAGCGAGAGTTGCACCCCTTCTCAAAAAACCAACACTCGATCCCTCTGATGTCAACAACTACAGACCAGTATCCCTTCTTTCTTTTCTCTCCAAAACTCTTGAGCGTGCCGTCTTTAGCCAACTCTCTTGCTATCTCTCTCAGAATTACCTTCTTGATCCAAACCAGTCAGGTTTCAAGACTGGTCATTCAACTGAGACTGCTCTTCACTGTGTCACGGAGACTCTCCGCACTGCTAAAGCTAACTCTCTCTCCTCTGCTCTTGTCCTTCTAGACCAGTCTGCTGCCTTTGATACTGTGAACCATCAGATCCTCCTCTCCGCCCTCTCCGAGTTGGGCATCTCCGGCGCGGCTCACTCTTGGATTGCGTCCTACCTGACCGCTCGCTCCTACCAAGTGGCGTGGCGAGAATCTGTCTCCGCACCATGTGCTCTCACCACTGGTGTTCCCCAGGGCTCAGTTCTAGGCCCTCTCCTATTCTCGCTATACACCAAGTCACTTGGTTCTGTCATGTCCTCCCATGGCCTCTCCTATCATTGCTACACAGACGACACACAACTAATCTTCTCCTTTCCCCCTTCTGATAACCAGGTGGCGAATCGCATCTCTGCATGTCTGGCAGACATATCAGTGTGGATGACGGATCACCACCTCAAGCTCAACCTCGGCAAGACGGAGCTGCTCTTCCTCCCGGGGAAGGACTGCCCGTTCCATGATCTCGCCATCACGGATGACATCTCCGTTGTGTCCTCCTCCCAGAGTGCGAAGAGCCTTGGCGTGACCCTGGACAACACCCTGTCGTTCAACTAACATCAAGGCGGTGACCCGATCCTGTAGGTTCATGCTCTACAACATTCGGAGAGTACGACCCTGCCTTACACAGGAAGCGGCACAGGTCCTAATCCAGGCACTTGTCATCTCCCATCTGGATTACTGCAACTCGCTGTTGGCTGGGCTCCCTGCCTGTGCCATTAAACCCCTACAACTCATCCAGAATGCCGCAGCCCGTCTGGTGTTCAACCTTCCCAAGTTCTCTCACGTCACCCCGCTCCTCCGCACACTCCACTGGCTTCCAGTTGAAGCTTGCATCTGCTACAAGACCATGGTGCTTGCCTACGGAGCTGTGAGGGGAACAGCACCTCCGTACCTTCAGGCTCTGATCAGTCCCTACACCCAAACGAGGGCATTGCGTTCATCCACCTCTGGCCTGCTGGCCCCCCTACCTCTGCGGAAGCACAGTTCCCGCTCAGCCCAGTCAAAACTGTTCGCTGCTCTGGCACCCCATTGGTGGAACAAGCTCCCTCACGACGCCAGGACAGCGGAGTCACTCACCACCTTCCGGAGACACTTGAAACCCCACCTCTTTAAGGAATACCTGGGATAGGATAAAGTAATCCTTCTACCCCCCCTTACACCCCCCCCCCCCCCCCAAAAAAAAAAAAAATACATATTGTAAAGTGGTTATACCACTGGCTATAAGGTGAATGCACCAATTTGTAAGTCGCTCTGGATAAGAGCGTCTGCTAAATGACGTAAATGTAAATGTAAATAAACACATATTGTATTTCTGTAGTTCTCAAAATCCATATGTAGCAGGCAAACCAGATCAAAATCTATAGTTTTACCAAACGGTTAAGTGATTAACCATTACGCACTGTTGGATTAAGTGATGGTCAAATGTATTTAAACAAATGATAAGAAAATCATTTGAAAAGTATTGTGATTATTACATTGTGAAAGGCATTTACTTTATATGAAAGGTATTTCTAGATGAAACACTGATTATGTTTGGTGAAAATGTTGGTGTGATTTTGTGTGTTGTACTTATTAGTCAATTGAAAATGTGCTTAAAGATTTTAAAAAACTGCCTTTTTGATGATCTGTTTTGAGTTTTGTACTAAGAGTTGTGAAATGTTACCACATACTTGTGAAAATAGTATGAAAGCAATTTTTTTAAATGTCATGTATATTTATAAAGACATTTTATTCTTCTCAAGATCATTAGCACAACATGATGTGAGCTCTGTGCTCTGTGATTTTGAGAGTGACATTCTGATGTATCTGAAGTAGTTTGCTGTATTGGAGCCAACAACAGAATGAATAGCTCAGTATTTAACATGACATTATGGAATGAGTTTAGCTTAAACTTGCAGCATTCTGAGCTAACTTTCACACTTTTGCTTAGAGGACATCTGTGGTTGTGAGCTGTTCATTTCCTGTATAGAAAAGGGAGAGAGTCAGAGAGCGTTCTTGTTGAACGTAAAATAATATCAGACTGGGTTGTGGTCCGGAGGACCCTGAACCATGAACCTGGTTTAAAATGAGAGTCTGTGGAGGTCTTGGTCTAGTACCCATCACTACATCTCTGTAGCACATGACCCCTCAAATCTATACATTTCTAGCATATGCAGTACTTTGTAGTGACTTTGATTTTGGGGTTAAACTAGTCCATATGATGCAATAGTTGCTATCTACCACTGAGGGGGCCATGTACACACAAACAGAAGCAGGAAGATAGTTACAGACAGTGAAGTCTATTAACATTAGGAAGTAGAGTCATTCTGGCTGGTACCTTGGTACTTGACACACATTTGTACTCAGGTACCATATAATATACCAGGCAGACTGAAACAATAAACATGGCTCTTCATCTCTCCCTCCTCCTCCTCTTCCTCATCCTCTACAGAGTCTCAGCAGGTATGTGTAACATGTTTCTATAAAGGCTGAAGTCAATTGGGTCAATTCACTGCAAACACTGTTTAATAAGTCTCAATCATTAACAAGATGTTTTATAGTGTATAAGCAATGGGATTTTTTTCTGGAGTGCAGATTCTGTTGAATTCCAACCTAAATGTGTTTTGTGTTGATGTGTTCACAGTGAGGTATGTGTCTGTGCAGACAGGAGGCTCCATCACCATCCCATGTAGCTATGATCTGAATCACATCAACCATGTGAAATACTGGTGTAAAGGATTACTTTGGGAAGGATGTTCTTATGTGGTACGCACTGACCATCCTAAGATCAGTGGTAAGGCCTCAATCTCTGATGACATCAACAAGAGAATCTTCACTGTGACCATGACTAACCTGAAGTCACGGGACTCTGAGAATTACAGGTGTATTGTGGTGATCAATGGAGGACCAGATATCAGGATACAATGGTTCTACCTATCTGTCACTCCAGGTAAGATCCCTTCACTGTTTGTATCTAGTAAAGTAGAATGAATAGTGCTCAGCAATGTCCTATGGATTGTCCTATAAACCTGCAATGTCAAATACAAAATAATGACCCATTTATAAATATTGTTTTACAACAAATGAAATGATAAATGTGTAACCAGTCTGAAATTCATAGACAGAGCTATACTGTATACGTAGGTGCAAGAACTGACCATGTTTACAATTACATTATTTACAAACCACTGAGTAAAACAAGATTCTATTTGGGGTCATGATGGGGTAACAGTTGAACTAAACTCGTGAGGCAACTTAAATTCTTTAATAATCAATGGCTATATATAATTATTATGAATTCAAAAGACTAACAATGGATGTACCAATCACAGACTGCAGCTTTAAGGAATTTGTAAGGAGCCTGTTGTAAAAACACTTTTTTCTTCTCTGAATTCTTGTTTTTTACCTCTGTGTTCAGCTACTCCAGAACTCTATGTGGACCAACAGGAAGTGACTGGAGTAGAAGGAGGGAGTGTCACTGTCCGTTGTTACTCTAGTAACTCTGGAGATATGAAGTGGTGCAGGATGGGTGGTGATTGTGTGAGTTTGTATTCTGGGACTTTACATGGAACATCAGTGACATTAAAGCGGACTAGTGATGCCAACAACAGAAAAGTCTTAACAGTGACTATGAGTGGACTGAAGATGGAGAACACTGACTGGTATTGGTGTGAAGTGGGACAACTAGAGTTGCCTGTTCACATCACTGTCAGTCAACAAACTGCAACACAGAGAACCACTACAATGACGTCAAGTGAGTAGATCAATCACATACTTTATGATCAAACATGATTCACTTTGTTTTATCCAGTGGCATCATCTGGAATTCATTTTAATATTAACTATGAATGTGATGTTGCTATACAACCTGACTATCTGGTATACCAGTAATTTCATTGATGGCATTGTTGTTTTACATCACAGCAACCCAAGCTCCAACCAATCAACAACCCTCTGCCTCTCCAACTGCTGAGCCTGTTCAGACTGACAACACAAGTCAAGGAGCTGAGGGGAACATGGAGGACGTCCACCAGAGGTTATTATCACTCATTCAGCTGTATTATCCCACATATTATGGCAATTGGCTGATAATATGAACACAAAGAAGCGTTACAATTCCATCATACACTACAACAGTTAAAGCTAACCAAACATCCTCCTAAATGCATATAGAGACTGTTAGCACTTCCTCTTGGTAGAACATCTCTGTGGTTGCCTTGTGAGAAGTAGCAGCAATGTTGGTGTCATTCTCACTCATTTTGAATGAGTTGCACACATAAAATTAACGTAATTTCAATAGTAATCATATCATTTCTTCAAGTTTCTAAACTTCCAAAGATACAATCAACCAAGGCCGAATGATAGCATACCTAGCTTCATGTTGAAATGATGGTGTTCGTTGTTGGGCAAATCAGATGTCAATGTAGCCTACATAAACCCAACCTCACTCTGAATTTACTTTCACATACAGCTTGTGTAAGAGAAGTTAGAGGAGTTACTTTCAACTATTTAACATTATTTAGGTAATCTACGCAAATTAGTGTGGGAACTGATCAATGTCTAAATGTGTTGACATGATAGTTTAGCTGAATTGAACACAGCTTGTTTCCAAAGCTAAGCAGTGTACATAGAGGTAGGCATCTGGATGGTAGACTGGTTCTCACTGAAGTGCATTACCCCATATATACCAGTAGGAGTGACTGTTCAGGACTGTGGCGTCACGTTGTATTTCAATATACCTCTTTATTTAGGTTAAAAGCATGACATTGAAACAATGAAGTTGATTCAAACATACCATTTTACTATCAACATTGGAACAAGGTCAAATAAAATATGTCTAATCATATCTCAAATTCAACATAATTTCAACCACCCAATCGAATATAGACAGAAAAATCACATTTTATGTTTTCAACGCAATTTCAACATACATAGTTTTGATGATTATGTTAAAAATAGATTGATGTAACAACCTGTTAGTCAGGTTAAGTCAATGTATTTAAGAGCTGAAAACAGTACTGGTTGATGACTTTTTTCAAACCCAATATATTTTTTACATTGATTCCACGTCACAATACGTTGAGAAATTACGTTCAAACAACGTTGATTTAACCAGTGTGTGCCCCGTGAGTTACCATTTCCTCTTGGGTAGAATAACATCTCTGTGGTTGCCTTGTGAGAAGTAGCAGCAATGTTGCTGTTATTCTCAGTCTATCATTTGCATGGTTAAATTGCAAACTTATATGATCAGAGGCCGTCTGCGCTCTTTTAAGGTCCTTACTACTGAAAAGTGTCTGTGTCACGGATTCTGCCGAGGCTGCTCCTCCTCCTGGTTCGGGCAGGCTTCGGCGGTCGCCGTCCCCGGAGTACTAGCTGCCACCGCTCTATGTTTCGTGTATCGATTGCTTTTGTCTGTCTGTTACACCTGTGTCTCGTTGAGTGTTGATTACCTGTATTATAAGTTCCTTGTTGTGCTCTAGTTTATTGTGTGTTGCTGCTCACTGCCAGTCTGACGGAGCTACGTGTTTGCTCTCTGTTTTGTGTTTAGTGTGTACGCGTGTCTAGCGTATTAGTTCCCTCACCTCTTGTTGTGGTCGAGGTCGTGTTCTCGCTTTTTCCTTTTTGGACTATTAAAGTCTGTTGGACTAAACCTCTGTGTCCTGCGCCTGACTCCTCCACCACATCCACATCGGTTGAACTGACAGAACAACACACCGCCATGGAGTCAGCAGGAACAACGGCGGCACCCGTAACACTGGAAGACCGGATCAACTACCAAGACGCCATGATCCGGCACCTCGGGGCCACCATGGACGAGGTGTCCAACACGCTGCGCCAGTTGGTGACTCGAGAGGCGCCTACGCACTCTTCTACCATCCCATCACCAACGGCCAGTCCTCCTCTCTCAGCACCGGAACCCAGTGGCATTCGGCTCTCGCTCCCGAGGGCATATGACGGTTCTGCAGCCGGGTGTCAGGGATTTCTCCTGCAGGTGGAACTCTACCTGGCCGCCATACACCCGGCGCCCTCGGGATACGAGAGCGTCTCCGCCCTCATCTCCTGTCTATCCGGCAAGGCGTTGGAGTGGGCCAACGCCGAATGGAGGGGAATAGACGCCGCGACCATCACCTACGCGGAGTTCTCCCGCCGCTTCAGGGCTGTCTTCGATCATCCACCTGAGGGGAAAGCGGCGGGAGAGCGTCTGTTCCACCTCCGACAGGGGAAGAGGAGCGCACAGGAGTTCGCACTGGAGTTCCGGACACTAGCAGCGGATGCGGGGTGGAATGAGAGGGCCCTCATCGACCACTACCGGTGTAGCCTACGAGAGGACGTTCGTCGTGAGCTGGCCTGCAGGGACACCAACCTGTCGTTTGACCAGTTGGTGGACATTTCCATCCGTCTAGACACCCTGCTGGCTACCCGCGGACGTCCCGAGTGGGGGTCGTCCATTCCACCCTCCAGCACCTCCGAGCCGATTCCTATGGAGCTCGGGGTTGCTGGCGCTAGAGAGAGGAGGAGAGGGAACCCGAGGGGGGCCATCCCCTGCACCACCTGTGGTCGTGGAGGACACACCGCGTCCAGGTGCTGGGGAGGGTCTCCTGGGAGAGGTGACAACGGGCCACGCACTGGGGAGTCATTTCAGGTGAGTAGGCGCCCCACTTACCCAGAGCTTTCTGTTGGTCACATGAGTATTCCTGTGAGATTTCCACAGGTGGCACCTCATTCCCAGCATAAGGCGCTAGTAGATTCAGGCGCAGCTGGGAACTTTATTGATCGGGCATTTTGTGGTAGGTTAGGAATTCCCCTTCGGCCGGTAGAAGCTCCATTTCCTGTCCACGCATTAGACAGCCGGCCGTTGGGGTCGGGCCTGATCAGGGAGGTCACAGCACCACTGACTATGACGACGCAGGGGGGTCATGAGGAGACCATTCAGTTTTATCTGATTGACTCTCCTGCGTACCCCGTGGTGTTGGGACTTCCCTGGTTGAGCACCCATGATCCTACCATAGCGTGGTAACAGAGGGCTCTTATGGAGTGGTCTGCCCAGTGTGTAGGGAGATGTCTAGGTGTTTCCGTAGGGGCGACCTCGGTAGAGAGTCCGAACCAAGTGCCCGCACTGCGCATTCCCCCTGAGTATGAGGATTTAGCACTTGTGTTTAGCAAATCGAGGGCAACACGGCTGCCTCCTCATAGACAGGGGGACTGTGCGATAAATCTCCAAACAGGAGCGGCTCTGCCACGGAGTCGTGTGTATCCCCTGTCTCAAGAGGAGACAGCGGCTATGGAGACTTACATAGCCGAGTCCTTGGCACAGGGATACATACGGTCCTCTACTTCCCCGGTCTCCTCGAGTTTCTTCTTTGTGAAGAAGAAGGACGGGGGATTGCGCCCGTGTATTGATTACCGTAGTCTCAATCAGATCACAGTTAAATACAGCTACCCACTTCCACTGATTGCGACGATGACGGAGTCATTACGCGGAGCGCGGTTCTTCACAAAGTTGGATCTCAGGAGCGCGTATAATCTGGTGCGCATTAGGGAGGGGGATGAATGGAAAACAGCATTTAGCACCACCTCGGGTCATTACGAGTATCTCGTCATGCCATACGGGTTAATGAATGCTCCTTCAGTCTTCCAATCCTTTGTTGACGAGATTTTCCGGGACATGCATGGGCAGGGTGTAGTAGTTTACATCGACGACATCCTAGTGTACTCTTCTACACGAGCCGAGCATGTAGCCCAGGTGCGCCGAGTGTTGAGAAGACTGCTGGAGCATGACTTGTATGTCAAGGCAGAGAAATGCCTGTTCTTCCAGGAGTCCGTCTCCTTTTTGGGTTATCGGTTGTCCGCGTCTGGTGTGGAGATAGAGGTAGACCGGGTATTGGCCGTGCGTAATTGGCAAACCCCAACTACTGTAAAAGAGGTGCAGCAGTTCTTGGGTTTTGCTAATTACTACCGGAGGTTTATTCGGGGTTTTGGACAGGTTGCAGCTCCCATTACGTCTCTGCTAAAGGGGGGTCCGGTTCGTTTGCAGTGGTCGGCTGAGGCGGACAGGGCATTTGTCAAACTAAAGAACCTGTTCACCTCGGCTCCTGTGCTTGCGCATCCGGATCCCTCTTTACCATTCCAAGTAGAGGTAGACGCGTCCGAGACCGGTATTGGGGCAGTCCTGTCACAACGGTCCGGCGCGCCACCTAAACTCCGCCCCTGTGCGTTCTACTCCAAGAAGCTCAGCTCGGCGGAGCGCAACTATGACGTTGGGGACAGGGAGCTGTTAGCCGTAGTCCAGGCCCTAAAGGTGTGGAGGCATTGGCTTGAGGGGGCTCAACACCCTTTCCTCATTCTGACAGATCACCGTAACCTGGAGTACATCCGGGCAGCTAGGAGATTGAACCCTCGTCAGGCTAGGTGGAACATGTTCCTAACCCGGTTTGTTTTTAAGATCACATACATCCCAGGGTCCCAGAATGGTAAGGCAGACGCCCTGTCCCGGCGGTATGACACAGAGGAGAGGTCCAACGAGCCTACTTCCATATTGCCGGAGTCTTGTTTGGTGGCTCCGGTGGTATGGGAGGTCGATGCGGAAATCGAGCGGGCACTGCGTACCGACCCTACTCCCCCCGAGTGTCCTGTGGGGCGGACGTACGTTCCGCTCGAGGTTCGTGATCGACTTATTTATTGGGCTCATACATCACCCTCCTCTGGACATCCAGGTATTGGCCGGACCGTGCACTGTCTTAGCATGAAATACTGGTGGCCAACGTTAGCTAGGGATGTGAGGGTTTATGTCTCCTCCTGCTCGGTGTGTGCCCAGTGTAAGGCGCCTAGACATTTGCCCAGGGGTAAGTTACATCCCCTGCCCATTCCACAACGACCATGGTCCCACCTATCGGTGGATTTCGTAACCGACCTACCCCCCTCCCAGGGGAATACCACCATTTTGGTCGTTGTGGATCGGTTTTCCAAGGCCTGTCGTCTCCTTCCAATGCCGGGTCTCCCTACTGCCCTACAAACCGCTGAGGCCCTATTTACCCATGTGTTCCGGCACTATGGGGTCCCCGAGGATATAGTGTCTGACCGAGGTCCCCAGTTCACCTCCCGAGTTTGGGGGGCGTTCATGGAACGGTTGGGGGTCTCGGTAAGCCTTACCTCGGGGTATCACCCAGAGAGCAATGGGCAGGTGGAACGTGTCAACCAGGATGTGGGTAGGTTTTTGAGGTCCTATTGCCGGGACCGGCTGGAGGAGTGGTCTAGGTTCATCCCCTGGGCAGAGATGGCCCAGAACTCTCTCCGCCACTCCTCCACCAATTTAACACCTTTCCAGTGTGTTTTAGGTTATCAGCCGGTCCTGGCACCATGGCACGAGAGCCAGATCGAGGCTCCTGCGGTGGACGAATGGATTCGGCGCTCGGAGGAGACGTGGGACGCTGCCCATGTCCATCTGCAGCGTGCCATCCGTCAACAAAAGGCGAGCGCCGATCGCCACCGCAGTGAGGGACCGGTGTACGCACCGGGAGATCGAGTCTGGCTCTCGACTCGAAACCTGCCCCTCCGCCTGCCCTGCCGGAAGCTGGGTCGGCGGTTTGTGGGGCCCTTTAAAGTCCTGAGAAGATTGAACGAGGTGTGTTACAGGTTACAACTGCCTATAGAGTATAAAAATATTAACCCCTCGTTCCATGTGTCTCTTCTCAGGCCGGTGGTAGCTGGCCCACTCCAAGAAGATGAGATAGGAGAGACCCCTCCGCCCCCTTTGGACATCGAGGGGGCCCCGGCGTACAGAGTCCGGACCATCTTGGACTCGAGGCGCCGGATGAGTGGTCTCCAGTATCTCGTGGAGTGGGAGGGGTACGGTCCGGAGGAACGGTGCTGGGTGCCCAGGAGGGACATACTCGATCCATCCCTCCTGACTGAGTTTCACCGTGGGCATCCCACGCGCCCTGGTCCGCGTCCTCCTGGCCGTCCCCGAGGCCGGGGTCGGCGCACGGCTGGAGCCGCGCGTCAAGGGGGGTACTGTCACGGATTCTGCCGAGGCTGCTCCTCCTCCTGGTTCGGGCAGGCTTCGGCGGTCGCCGTCCCCGGAGTACTAGCTGCCACCGCTCTATGTTTCGTGTATCGATTGCTTTTGTCTGTCTGTTACACCTGTGTCTCGTTGAGTGTTGATTACCTGTATTATAAGTTCCTTGTTGTGCTCTAGTTTATTGTGTGTTGCTGCTCACTGCCAGTCTGACGGAGCTACGTGTTTGCGCTCTGTTTTGTGTTTAGTGTGTACGCGTGTCTAGCGTATTAGTTCCCTCACCTCTTGTTGTGGTCGAGGTCGTGTTCTCGCTTTTTCCTTTTTGGACTATTAAAGTCTGTTGGACTAAACCTCTGTGTCCTGCGCCTGACTCCTCCACCACATCCACATCGGTTGAACTGACAGTCTGTTCCAGGTGCGTAGGAGTCAACATAACAATACTGGACGAGATAGAGACCAGCACACTGTCGAAAAAAGGTTGCACACTTAAAATCAACCTCATTTGTATAGTAATAATCTCAATAGTAATAATATAATCTCTTTATTTGCATGGTGAAGTTCCGCACGTGTATAGCTGCAAACAACAAATTATAACTTTTTCACAAATGATCAATTTATAATGATCTATTTTAATTGTATTTTTGATTCAAGTTCTTCTATGTAATCCATCAGGTCCATAGATGTGAAAGTCCTACTGATTCCTTGGGGCATGTTGGTGGTGGTGACAGCTGGTGTCCTAGTGGCATGGAAGATGTGGAGAAAGCATAGTAAGTATTTATTTAAAATATATTAATTAAATACATGACAATATGTTATAGTATTGGAATATACAATAGAATGAATTGTGCACACATTATGGAATGTACGTACAGTACATCTTCATTTAGCTCTGAGGAGACAGGTGGTGTTGAAGTGACATGAAACGTAACTGCCAATCATGTATGGGTCCACTGTAACACAGAGGACATTCATTTCTCCCTCTCTAGAGGACAATAAAGCTGAGAACCAGCCAACAAGCACTGCAGCGGTAGGCTACGTTCATCTTGTCTTTTCAATCATACATGCACCTTTCTATTCTTGATATAGTCATTTCCATACAGTATGAGTCTGTGTCCGTCTCTCTACCAGCAGGACCCATTTCCTGACAATGATGATGTAACGTACAGTACTGTCGTCTTAAAGAGGAAGACCCAGCTAAAGTTACAGACCAAGGTAAGAATGAACGAATGAAGGACATTCATTTCTCCCTCTCTAGAGGACAATAAAGCTGAGAACCAGCCAACAAGCACTGCAGCGGTAGGCTACGTTCATCTTGTCTTTTCAATCATACATGCACCTTTCTATTCTTGATATAGTCATTTCCATACAGTATGAGTCTGTGTCCGTCTCTCTACCAGCAGGACCCATTTCCTGACAATGATGATGTAACATACAGTACTGTCATCTTAAAGAGGAAGACCCAGCTAAAGTTACAGACCAAGGTAAGAATGAACGAATGAAATGGATTTGACAATATTTTTATACATATAATGTTGTTTCAACGATGAGAAAAGGACAAAACACATCCAAAACATAATAGTCTACAGACTTATTCCCACTGTGGTTATTATTATTATTTTTACTATTATTATTATTACTATTATTATTATTACTATTATTATTGTTACTATTGCTATTATTAATATTACTATTATTATTATTATTATTACTATTATTATTACTATTACTATTATTACTATTACCACTGTGGTTATTATTATTTGTACTATTACTATTACTACTATTATTATTATTACTATTATTATTATTATTATTATTATTATTACTATTATTACTATTATTATTATTATTCCCATCGTGGTTGTCTTATTCAGACAGCTCACATACAGGTAGGCTGATGTTGTTCATCTAGTTGGATGTATTCTAGCCACAGCTTCATATTAAGGTACTTTAATAAATGTGTGCATTGGTTGATTGTTTAGTAAACATGTTCTCTGTATCACCATTATATAAATGTCAATTTCATGGTACAATCTATCATGACAAAATGTCCCTGTTCACCTCTCTACCTGTTCCTCCTCTGTAGGCAGCAGAACCAGATGATAATGTGGTCTACAGCTCACTAGCTCTACAGGTGACCACACAGGTCAGTGTTGGTGTCTCCTCTGTCTGTTGTACCAGATGATGCTGATCTCTCAACAAAGATACAGACAACACCACATTGCTATGTGTAGTAAACATCAATCTTTAAAGGTCGACTTTGGGCAAAAACCCACAAATAACGAATTTAAACTGTATAACTGATCAATGCACCATCATACCAGGTCATTTAACGCTTAAAAACAAAACAACAATTGTTGAATTTGGCTACAGAAGTGCCATTTCTTACCTGTCTCTCCAGCATCCGTCCAAAAACAAATCCTGTGAAATGACGTCAACACATACTGGAGGAGTTACTGGCTAGCTAGTGGCGCGCATAGGGTGTGTTCGTAAATTCACTCTGGAGTGCCAGAGGGGGCTCAGAGTGCGCTCTGGGCGTTCGTAAAATCAGAGCGTTGTCAGATTGTCCGTTGGTAAATTCAGAGCTTTCGTTCTCGGAACGTTCAGAGCGCACACTGGACGCTCTGGCCGAGGAGTAGGAGTGATCCCAGCGTTCTGAGCTCATAACAGCAGTCAAGCACCCAAGCTAACAGGCTAACGTTGACTAGCTTGCTAGCTACTTCCTGACAAAAATTAGAGAATACCTAACCCAGCAGAGCTGGTTAGGCTGTTTTCACGTTATCCAGAGCGTTGGTGATTGTAACTGTGATGGTGGCAACGATTTAATTACGCTTTTTTGCCGAAGTTTACTGGCAATATTCAACAGGTGTTGAGCGTTCCTAAATTCATCAGTTTTTCAGCACTCTGGAGTAGATAGCCAGAGTGAATTTACGAATGCGGCCCTAGATTGACACATCGATGAACCACATTTTAATTAATTTTAGTCATTTAGCAGACGCTCTTATCCAGAGCGACTTACAGTTAGTGAGTGCATACATTATAATTTTTTCATACCCCCCGTGGGAATCGAACCCACAACCCTGGCGTTGCAAACGCCATGCTCTACCAACTGAGCTACATCCCTGCCGGCCATTCCCTCCCCTACCCTGGACGACGCTGGGCCAATTGTGCGCCGCCACATGGGTCTCCCGGTCGCGGCCGGCTACGACAGAGCCTGGATTCGAACCAGGATCTCTAGTGGCACAGCTTAGACCACTGTGCCACTCGGGAGGCCCACCAAAGGCACAACCCATTTCTGTTTGAAAATTGAGAGAGAATCAAATCAAATCAAAAAGACGCGGAGATGGACCGTTTCTCATGCCAAATGTCGATCTTTAACCACACAAATCTTTCTTTGTCTTTTATTTTGCTGTATGTAAAACTTTATCATCACATTGTGACCAGCTAACCTTATTGCTATCAGTGTATCCATAACATTACAGTATTGAGTGTGACTGGGATGAAGTTGCCCCTAGACGATGATCTTGGGTCAGTTTTTTAATGTTTCTTACTTATGGGTAAGGTTAGGCGTTGGGGGACGGGAAGCTGATCCTAGATCTGTACCTAGGGGAAACTTCACCACGGAATTTGTGACTGAATGTTTCTCTTCCTCTCCAGCAGAGGGCAGCAGCAGAACAGCAGTGACTGTCTGAGAGAAGACCTTGGTCGAGTCCTTATCCTGGAAAACTCCCCTCTCCTGTGTAACAACATATACATCTATCTGCCTCCAATATGCTTCTGGCATACCTCTTAACCCACCCCAGCAAGACCCCTCCAACCTTTTGTGTCCATAAACTACTGAATTCAGACTGTTGTGCTTGTTTTGATTATCACCACATATCTGTTTTATCAAGGCCGCTACACACTTTACGCAAACTTCGCAAACGCAGCGAAGGAGCGTCGTTTTCTACAGTTCTACGTAGTTCTACATACTGTACTTTTGTGCGGCTCAAATGTTTGAACAGACCGACGATCCATCGGATGGTCAGGGGGACGGAACATAATAACAAATAATGTGTAGACTGCAAGCCCAAACAGATATAATATTTGACTAAAACATAATCATTTCAAACCTTGCATACATTTGTATACGATCACATTTATCTCTCTATTATGCGTGGGAATACTTTGGAACAGATTTCCAAAATTAAAATCACTTGGAGCTGATTTGCTTTTATGTCCAAAAAATATATATACATATTTAATAAAATAAAATCATCTACGGACCGAATTCTGGGAACCCTGGCTTGTTAATTGCCACCCACCTGCTCTAATGACCTTTCCCCTTGTCACTTGTTTTTTACATCCTCATCTTATTGATCTCATGTAGTCAAATATCCTACACCTGTAACTAATCACGATCAAAAGCTATATTGCATTTAGTAATTTTGTTCAATATTTGGAGGAAAGAGCTTTCACTCCCTACAGTAAAATCCATCATAAATCAGCATTCCAAGTTGTTCTATCCAGCAGATAATGTTGCAGCTAGCATCATCGTTACCATGGCAATTTTAATGGTGGCGCCCATTTAGCATTTGTTTTAAAAGTATAAATGTGTATTTGACAAACCCCCAGGTAATACATTTAGGGTTTGTATAGATTGTCTTATTTGAGCTTGTAAAACGTTTCCATTCCCCTTTAGGGATTTAAAAAAAAATATATATATAATGTTATTTTTTTTTATTGCACGATTATAGCAAATTATAGAATTAAAGAGAAACCAACTTCCTCTCGCATAATGGCTGAACTATCTTTTAACGTCTTCAAGAGGCTAAAATGTATTGATTAGGTTGCTATAGGTGTTGAACTAAGGTTGCATTTGCAATAGAAATTTAACAAACATGCACATTATTTAAAGATGAGTGAATGATTAACACGAGGTCCCCAGCACCGCACAGTGAGTCGACCAATTTAAAATAGTACTCATAAGCATTATTGTCTCTAGCCACTAAAACGTGCCACACCGTAGGCTACCTCTCCGCACCATCCTGTCAACCCCTCGTTCTTCCCAAGGGGGGCTGGCCCCACAGGAAAAGCTGATTTAGGTGTAGTAAAATCCATGCACTGTGTGTAGCAGGTAGTTCTCAGTAATTATAACATAATCAGACATATCTGCCTACAAAAAGTACATGACTGGTGTTCTCCTTTAATTTCCTTCCTTACTTTCTCTATGGTTCCTTTGGGACAAATCCTGCATTTTCACAGCTGATCTCGGACTGAACCATTTGGGTTCTGAGGGGATTTATTTATCAGAAAGTTACACATTATTTCATTTAGAGGAAATATATCCTAGCCTAATGGAATCTTGAAGATGACTATGTTAATTTTAGGACATTCATGTAATATATGTTATTTATAATAACAACCAATGTGTGTATTCATGGGAAATAAAGAAAAATGGTTCCTTGTTTCCCCATGGCTAGACCATTCCAAAGCCAGCTGTTCAGAACTAGCCCAAATATATTTTGCGTCGATATACTAGAGGACCACAACATATCTTTAATTATTGTAATTTATGCAGTCTTGTGGAGAAGAACATTGGTTTATGTGGATGTTACTTTGTGCCCCAGATTTTAACAGCTGGAACAGTTGACGGTAAGTAGCCTAGCCTACTACAGCAAGGTTGCCATGAATCGAGCAATAACCCTGTAGCCTACTGTTTTAGGTTGGTTATTTTGTTGCGACTGATGCTGATGTGCTCTTCCTGTGTTATATACAGTGGCCTCCTAGGTTATAGCTGTGTACGCCTAATACAAAAAGAATAGTTTATGCTGCATATGCTTATCGTTGCAACGAGTACTATTTAGTGGTCAAATGTTTAGCCTATGTCCTATCGGACTTTAGGCTGCTGGCTTCCAGAGCGCTCGCTGTCAGAACCGCGGGACTGCGCGTTGACAGATGACGGGGGCGCGCTTCAACATCGGAAAATGTGACACACGGTCCATGCAGGAGGTAAGACAGCTAGCTGTTCGTTCAAAATACTGCCTTTTCGTAACTTGAGTGTCAGGGACAGTGTCAGGGTGATATTGTTGCCACGTGTTGTTTAAAGGGCTTGAATGACGTTCAGCTAGGTGTATGCTCAGATTCAGAAAACTTTAATGACCTCAATGAGGCCATTAGACTGAATGAGAATAATAGTCGATTTATAGTGAAAATAAGTTCACCCCACAGCTGTCAGGTACAGAGCGTTGCTATTCCTCTTATTTCTTGGAAATAAGTAGGCACTCCTCTCTCTGTCTCATGGCTGCTTCTTCAGACTATCCATATGTAGAGGTGTGTGTGTGTGACACATTGAAATGACTGATTAGGACTATTTTAGGGATCTGGGGCACAGGATGTTGGCTGTGAATATTATAGTCATTCCTCCTCTCTCTCTCTATCTCTCTCTGTGCTCATAGGATGGAAAACAGCAACCCTATTTTACAGTCCTGATAGTTGTTTATGGTCCTGATAGTTGTTTTACAGTCCTGGTAGTTGTTTTACAGTCCTGATAGTTGTTTTACAGTCCTGATAGTTGTTTTGCGGTCCTGATAGTTGTTTTACAGTCCTGATAGTTGTTTTTACGGTCCTGATAGTTGTTTTACAGTCCTGATAGTTGTTTTGCGGTCCTGATAGTTGTTTTACGGTCCTGATAGTTGTTTTACGGTCCTGATAGTTGTTTTAGAGTCCTGATAGTTGTTGTACGGTCCTGATAGTTGTTTTACGGTCCTGATAGTTGTTCAGAAACCATGTGAACAATGATAACATACAAACATAACAATAAGTTGTAGTGCTTGATTGAATGACTCCCAAAGAGCAAAAAGAAATGTGGTCTATCAAATAAAGTGTAACCTGGCAAACCAACGTAACTGTACCAGATCACCCCTTTTCTCTACCAGCTAGAAGCTATATGGTCTTGCTGAGGTCTATATTGACATTGTGCTCGTGATGAGCTGCTAGATTAACCTAGATGTCACTGCAGTGATGAACCCATTAGGCAGGATTAGGCGGCTGCCTATGGCGGCAGATTGAGGAGCTAAACTGACCAAGACGCACTTCCAACAACAACACATAAACCTCACATAATTCTGCCCCCCTCCCCCCCTTTGTCAACGGCAGGGGCACAAAATATTTAGTTTGTCCATTCCCAGCGCGCCTCTCCAGGGTGCTGTTGGAGAGACTCATCGCTGGGGCGGTCCACCAACGTTCCGTCAAAACAATAATCTAACATAAATCATGTAGGATATGGTAGAAAGAGAATCTGGTCTTTTCTGTAGCCTACAGGCTGGAGATAAAATGTATGACAATGTAATGAGATTGACACCTTTTACATCATGCAGGATTCTCTGATCATATAGCCTAACCTAAATACAGTGGATTTTGAAAGTATTCAGACCCCTTGATTTTTTGACGCTACAAGCTTGGCACACCTGTATTTGGGGATTTTCTCCCATTCATCTCTGCAGATTCTGTCGAAGTTCTGTCAGGTTGGATGGGTAGCCTCGCTGCACAGCTATTTTCAGGTCTCTCCAGAGATGTTCGATCGGGTTCAAGTCCGGGCTCTGGCTGGGCCACTCAAGGACATTCAGAGACTTGTCCCGAAGCCACTCCTGCGTTGTCTTGGCTGTGTGCTTAGGGTCGTTGTCCTGTTGGAAGGTGAACCTTCACCCCAGTCTGAGGTGCTGAGCGCTCTGGAACAGGTTTTCATCAAGGATCTCTCTGACGGTTTTTGCTCTGACATGCACTGTCAACTGTGGGACCTTATATAGACAGGTGTGTGCCTTTCCAACTCATGTCCAATCAATGGAATTTACCACAGGTTGACTCCAATCAAGTTGTAGAAACATCTCAAGGATGATCAATGGAAACAGGATTCACCTGAGCTCAATTTCGAGTCTCATAGCAAAGGGTCTGAATACTTATGTAAATAAGGTATTTCTGTTGTTTATTTTTAATACATTTGCAAAAATTTCTAAAAACCTGTTTTCACTTTGTCATTATGGGGTATTGTCCGGTCCGGACCAAATCTGAACCAATCACAGACGTCTATGTTTGGTTCAGAATTTTGTCCGGTCTGAACCAGCCTTGATTTGGCCCAAACATAGACGTCTATAAATGACGTCTTTTCAACTTTCATTCAGAACCAAAAATGAGCCTGATTTCAACATCGGGAAAATACATATTTTCAAAATCTGGAAAATCCGTATTTTCAACTTTCATTCAGAACTGAAAATGAACTTGATTTCAACATCCAGAATATACGCATTTTTCAACGTCCGGAAAAGACGCCTTTTCAACGTCCTGGAAAATATGTATTTTAAACGTACGGAAAATACATATTTTCACCTTTCACTCAGAACCTAAATTTAACCTAACTTCAACGTCTGAAAAATACGTATTTTACATGTCTTTTCAATGTCATTTTGCTCACTGGGAGGGGGCTTTTTTTGAGGGGGTCTTGCCTAGGGCGGGCAAGGACTGGCCCTGGATTAATCAGTAACTAAGTAATCTCAGAGCCCAAAACCGAGTCTTAAAGACATGACAAGCTACTCGATCTGTCACGGGAGACATGTAACTAATCTGCTACCTGAACTAAATCAGCTGCTCGATTTAACATTTTAATGTTAAGGCTAACTGTCTGTCTGTTATCAGATTATGTGAACTCTGACCTCTGGGCGGTTGGTGTACTGATGATGAGGAAGCTAACCGTTCTAAACTGTTGACCCTTCCTTCTGCCTCTGACCAGGCCCAAGCACCATCATGCCTCAGGTACACAGCCTTGTTATACTACGATATATATACATTATACTTCATAATATATAGATACTTTACCATGATGAGTTGCTAGGTTACTAAATTAATGCTGGCTATTGTACAATATGATAACTGAGAGTCATATCTGCCTTTCTCTCTCTTTCTCTCTCTGTCTTCCTCCCCCTCTCTCTTTTTATCTCCCCCTATCCCACTCTGACCCCTTCCCCCTCTCTCTCTCTCCAGCCAGGTAGCAGTGGGATGGAGCCTGTCTTCGGTGAGGCGTATGGGACCAACGGGTTATCTGTGACCTTAGAGCCATTCACCATCTCTCCTACAGGGGAAAGCACAGAGTCAGACAACGTAGGTACAGTGGAAAACATTTGTGTCCCACGTCTGAATCAGTGGAGGCTGCTGAGGGGAGGACGGCTCATAGTAATGGCTGGAATGGAGTAAATGGAATGGCCTCAAACGCATGGAAACCATGTGTTTGATGTGTTTGGTACCATTCCACTGATACCGCTCCAGCCATTACCACGAGCCCGTACTCCGCAATTAAGGTGACACCAACCTCCTGTGGTCTGACTCAGTCCCTGATTAGAGGGGATGGAAGAATGAAAACCATCAGTGTTATTGACCTCTGGATCTGGAATTGAATACCACAGAAGTATAAATGATGTATGTGTATGTAACTCAGTGTTATTATAGATAGACTTAGAGAAGGACATCTAGAGAGTGTATGTGTTTGGTCTCTGTGTTGCAGTGTCCTAAGGGTGTGGTGGTGATGTTGGGGGCCCCAGCCCTGTCCCTGTCCCTGTCCCTGTGTCGAGGCCAGCAGCCTGGATGTGAGCTACTCAGTGATCTCTTGGAGGACGTGATCACTGACGACACACACACCTCTGAGCGTTGCTGGGACGTCTCGGCCTTGGATGACATCACACACTATGCCAAAGGCAGCCCAGAGGGGGCGCCACCGAGCTGCGAGAGCTCCTCCGTCTCACCTGAGGTATGAGTTACTCTTAACCGCAGATTATCCGGATTAACATCCTCACTAACCTTAACCATTAGATCCTGGGAAGTCACTTCTGGTTCTGGAGATCTACAGGGTGTCCAGCCAAGCACTAACACAACTGAGGCAGCTATTGATTAGTTGAGTCTGATGTGGGTCCATGGCTAGTCCTTGGGAACTCTGACCCTGGTTTAGAGCGAACTTCTACCTACTCTGTTATGCTCTCCACAGGGAGACAGAGAAGAACCATGGTTATCCCTGAGACCAAGGGGCAGGCAGCCGAGGAGCCCTACAGACCTCACACCCTGTGTGGGGTTGGGGGCTGGACACCTCCCCCTGGCTGGGAGAGATCCAGAGTCCTGGAGCGAAGAGGCTGGAGGGCGGGAGAGTGAAGCTGGGGAAGATCTGCAGCAGGTGGGGCAGGAAGAGGCGGTACTTAACTACTCTCTACAGAGTGAGCCAGACACTGAGTCTAGTCAAGGAACAGACAGCGACATTGGAGAGGAAGAGGAGGAGAAGGAGGAAGAAGATGGGAAAGAGGAAGAGGAGAACGGGAGAGAAACCATGGAGGAAGAGAAAGGGAAGGAAGAGGAGGAGCTTCAGTCCCACGTGAGACCAAAGAAACGCCGGCGTTACTGGGAATGTAGCCTCTTCAGTGACCTGGGGAGAGATGGAGAGAAAGATAGAGAGAGAGATGAAGAAAGGGATGAAGTTAAATATGAAGGGGATATAATCTGGGGCCCTAGCACCCTACTCAGCACCATGTGCCTGAAAGAGGGGACCTCCACCAATGGTGAGACCTCAAGCCCATAAGGGCCACAAATGTACAATAGAATAAGGAAAGGAAGATGTAAAACATTTTTACATTTTATATGTTCATAATGCCTCAATTTATATACATTTTCAACACCCACAGTGTTGGAGACCCAACACTCTGGCAGTCTTAATTTATCAACACTCATTCGGTGGGTCACATACATAATAGGAAAGTGTTAATTTTAAAGGGATACTTGGAGATTTTGGCAATGAGGCACGTTATCTACTTTCCCAGAGTCAGATGAACTCGTGGATACCATTTTTATGTCTCTGTGTCCAGTATGAAGGAAGTTAGAGGTAGTTTCGCTAGCCAATGCTAACTGGCGTTAGCACACTGACTGGAAGTCTATGGGTATCGACTAGCATAATAATGATATCCAGGAGTTCATCTGACTCTGGGGAAGTAGATAAAAGGCCTCATTGCCAAAATCCCCAAGTATCCCTTTAAATCCTGAAGTATCCATTTAACACTGTGGGTGATAAAATTCAGAAGTACTATTTTCTGTGTACAACTGCTTCAACCTCGCCATCTCTCAATGATATTGCCACACACAAATACTTTGTTAGTGGAGTCTAAAGCATAGCTGCATTAGCTGCACTGTCAGTTGCGTCTTGAGTGCTTGAGGGCTTGGAAACATACAATTACATTTAGTCATTTAGCAGATGTTCTTATCCAGAGTGACTTACAGACATTGCAACTAAGTAAAACCGACCACAAACTCCTGTGTGTTCCAAAGGTAAGCGAGGCCAGAGGAAGGCCCGTCGCACAGACGCCAGTGACCTGACCCCCAGCCCTGGGAAGCTACAGAGCCTGGGGGAGCAGCTCCACACACTCAGCTCCGCTCTGGAGGACATGACTCCTGTCAGTGACCTGCCTGTTACTGCCAGGACCCCAACACGGAAGGAGAGGAACAAACTGGCCTCCAGGTACACATACACACTGGGACACATGACTTACCTGAATAACTATAGAGGCATAATTCATTTGTGGCTTTTCACACACTGCACTTTCAGAAAGTACATTTGATTTGTACAGCAGGGTGTCCCGGTTTGAAGTACCATCCAGTGCACTCAACAGAACTATGATGTATTAAATTCAACCTGCGTCTAGCTAAGTGCTAGTGAGGTCGAGTGTAGCGGAGCATAAGCTCTCTTTCTCTCTCTCTTTCGCTCTCTCTCGCTCTCTCTCTCTCGCTCTGTCTCAGTTCAATTCAATTCAATTCAATTTAAGGGCTTTATTGGCATGGGAAACAGATGTTAACATTGCCAAAGCAAGTGAAATAGATAATAAACAAAAGTGAAATAAACAATAAATATTAACAGTAAACATTACACTCAAAAGTTCCAAAAGAATAAAGACATTTCAAATGTCATATTATGTATATATGCAGTGTTGTAACAATGTGCAAATAGTTAAAGTACAAATGGGAAAATAAATCAACATAAATATGGATTGTATTTACAATGGTGTTTGTTCTTCACTGGTTGCCCTTTTCTTGTGGCAACAGGTCACAAATCTTGCTGCTGTGATGGCACACTGTGGTATTTCACCCAGTAGATATGGGAGTTTATCAAAATTGGGTTTGTTTTCAAATTCGTTGTGGATCTGTGTAATCTGAGGGAAATATGTGTCTCTAATATGGTCATACATTTGGCAGGAGGTTAGGAAGTGCAGCTCAGTTTCCACCTCATTTTGTGGGCAGTGTGCACATAGCCTGTCTTCTCTTGAGAGCCAGGTCTGCCTACGGCGGCCTTTCTCCATAGCAAGGCTATGCTGACTGAGTCTGTTCTCTCTCTCCCCCCCCCCAAGAGCGTGTCGGCTGAAGAAGAAAGCCCAGCATGAGGCCAACAAAATCAAACTGTGGGGTCTGAACCAGGAGTATGGTGAGTAATTTCTAACTGTGGGGTCTGAACCAGGAGTATGGTGAGTTTTTTATTTCTGCCGATTATAATCTGTGACCCAACTAAAACTGTTGTTATGGGTTCTGTTGGTGATCCACCCAGTAGAGAAAGATTGTGTTTCTAGCCAGGACCCTGTCTCAAGTTAGCTGGTCCCTGATCTGTATCTGCAGTCTTAGGACTTGGTAATACAGAACAATCAGATCTGGGACCAGGCTATTCTCAAGATGTGACCCAACCTAATCAACCAGAAGCCACAGGGTCCTGACCAGTGGAGGCTCCTCAGAGGAGGAAGGGGAGGACCATGCTACTCAATGAATTTCAGAAAAGTTAAAATAGTACAACATTAAAAGAGTTATCCTTTTTAGATAAAACTATACTAAATATATTCACGTCACCAAATTACTGATTAAAACACACTGTTTTGCGCTGAAAGTCTACAGTAGCTTCAATGGCACTCTCTGGGGTTGCACCATGGTATAGCTGGAGGACAGCTATTTTCCGTCCTCCTCTGGGTACATTGACTTCAATACAAAACCTAGGAGGATCATGGTTCTCACCCCCTTCCATAGACTTACACAGTAATTATGACGACTTCCGGAGGACGTCCTCCAACATATCAGAGCTCTTGCAGTATGAACTGACATGTTGTCCATCCAATCAAAGGATCAAAGAATGAATCTACTACTGAAAGCATAAGCTACAGCTAGCTAACACTGCAGTGCATAAAGTGTGGTGAGTAGTTGACTCAAAGAGAGCGAAAGACAATAGTTGAACAGTTTTTAACAAATTAAGTAGAAGCAGCAGAGAGATCGCTATATTTCGCTGGTTTAACTGCTAAACTGCTCTCTGTACACTGTACTGTGTGATTGTACACATGGATTGGATTGTGGGTTTACTAAGGTGTTAGTTCTAGTTTGTTGACTATATCGTTACTATGGTGACAACAACGTAGGCTGTGTAGCGGTTAACGGTTATGGTATGAAGGTTTGGCTTGGAGAGGTTTGTGCGCTTGGTCATAGAGAGCTGTTGTGTTGTGCACTGAAGTCCACGAGCGAAGGAAAAAGATGAGAGGAGAGCGCGTAGATGCGAAAAGGAATTATACAACGAGCATTAGAGATGATGCCGTATTTGTCTGCTATGAAAGTGAATTGTGTGTGCGGCTGATCAGGGGTATATTCATTCTGCCGATTCTGTTGAAAAGCATTTCTTAAACAGAAGCAAACGGAAGTGGGAAGGACCTACCTGAATTTGTCCAATAGAAACTCTCGTTTTAGTTGCAAAACTTTCTGATTGGACTATGATTACACCCCAGATCAGCTAGATGCAGGCAAGAGTGTGCAAGGCATTGTTGAATGTGTCACTGTCTGTCACCTTGATTACGCTAATTTGTCTCTCGACCAGTGCACCTACGTTATAAACTTTAATTTGTAGTCTAGGTTGTAGCAACCTCATGATGGATATAGGGCAAATTCGAGTATTATGTAGTAGCCTAAACATATCGAGCTGGGTGGATGGAATATGAACGACAGTCATCCAATATGCTGTAATAGAAATAAGGCCATGCTCATAAAAAATTTAATCCACCTCCCTGATCTTAAACGGCACCGACAGCCACTGGTCCTAACACACTGTTGTAGATAATTATCTGTTTCATACAATCATTTTTCACACTTTAAATATACATTTGTATTATTTAATTTATACTGAGACTTTCCATGGGAACCTAGCCTGTATGCAGCCATTTTAGCTCATTCAGTCAATCCTTCATGTCTCTGGTGGTGTAATTCATTCAGATGGCCTGTTGGGGGCGGTGCTGCAGATTAAGGAGCTGATCCGCCAGAGAGTGGAGAACAGAGAAGAAGACACAGAGAGAGGATCTCTGAGAGAGAGACTGGAGGACATTCTGAAGGAATCAGCTGGTGAGTAGTGAGTATGTAGTCTGTTTGGACTTTCATGAGACCCTGTGAGTGTGACTGTATTTTAATGTAAGTATGTTAATTGTGTGGATGTGTGGGTATTTGTGTGCATGCATGATTGCGTGTGCTCAGGGCCACGTGTAGCAGGGCGAGGCAAAGCATTTGTGGAGAGGATCTTGACGAACGCTGCCGGAAAGAGCACCAGAGAGATTAAGGGAGAAGGAGGGTCATCAGACCCTAGCCACTAACCTCTTCTCCCCACCAGAGTCACTATCCCACCCCTTCTTGCTTCACTTTGCACTTTCTAACATGGAGAGAAGATAGGAAGGACAGACAGACAGACAGCCAGACAGATAGACACACAGACAGGCAGACAGGCACACAGACAGGCAGACAGACAGACAGGCAGGCAGGCACACAGACAGACACACAGACAGGCAGACAGACAGACAGGCAGGCAGACAGACACACAGACAGACAGACAGACACACAGACAGGCAGACACACAGACAGGCAGGCAGACAGACAGACAGACAGACAGACACAGACAGACACACAGACAGGCACGCAGGCAGGCAGGCAGGCAGGCAGACAGACAGACAGGCAGACAGACACACAGGCAGACAGACACACAGACAGACAGACAGACAGACAGACAGACAGACAGACAGAGACATGCACACTCTTAGATAGTGAGGATCTGCTGTGTCATGGCCTCTAGCTGTTACAGTATAGTTGATGAGTTAACATATGGCATGTTTGTTTAAGATTGTGTGCATGTGTTTGTGAGTGTGTGTGTGTGTGTGAGGGAGTGTGCATTATTCCAGTGTATCTATTGCGTTATGTACTATAGTATATCCTATCGTGCCTAAAGGAGGACACTGTGTGCTGCTAGCTAGTCATAGTCACTATGTATTCTGGGAGAAGTGACAGTGAGTATGGGGCTTATAACAGTGGACATGATGACTAAGCTGTTTATCTTGACGTCCATTTTGAATCGTACTGTAAACCAAAAGTTCATAGATAAACAGACTTTGGCATCATGTGAATGTTGCACAATGCTTCTCAAAGATGCTGAAAGCTGCTTGCATGGTAGTTTTATATGTCTCTACAGATCCTCTTTAAAACTGATATCATAATGTACTGCCCTGCTCTACAGATGAACCTGTGCAGGGAGGATAAAAATAACCTTAAACCAGGGATGGGCAACTCCGGTCCTCAGGAGGGCGCTGTGTTTGCTGGTTTTAGTGTTTTCCTGTAAATCAGTGACTGACTGCTACCTTGGAAACCTGGGCCCATATTCACAAAGAGTCTCAGAGCAGGAGTGCTGATCTAGGATCAGTAGATTATAATGAATAGGATTACATAGACAAGGTGGGACCTGATCCTAGGTCAGCACTCCTGCTCTGAGATGCTTTTTTAACATGGGTCCAGGCGTGTTTTCTCTCGGCAATGAGTGATATTAATTGATTAAGTGCCACAGGGAGAAGAGAGAACAGCGAACACTGCTGCACCCCTGAGTACCAGAGTTGTCCATCCCTGTCCTAAACCCACAGTACTGTAACTGTTAGAGAGATCCACATCTATGGTTTCAAATCTGATTCTATTCATCTATCTAATTCATCTATCTGATTCATCTATCTGATTCATCTATGTGATTCATCTATGTGATTCATCTATCTGATTCATCTATCTGATTCATCTATTTAGGTCCATGGTGCTTTTTGTAGCCTGTGCCATTGACTGTTCTTTGAGAGCAATATATTAACACGCGCACCACCACATCTCTCTCTGCTTCTCTTTGTGTTGCTAGATTATAGAAAACACAACTCATTCAGTGATAACAAATACCCTCCCCTACAAACCTGAACATTTACTATTCTCTCATTAGCTAAATGGAAATGAGTACATCTGTCCTGCAGTGATTTCTGAGAGGAAAGGTCTGTGGCCATTCAGTGAGTATAGTCCCTTTAATCCCAGGCCTGTATTCATAAAGCGTTTTAAAGTGCTGATCTAGGATGAGTTTTGCCTTTTAGATCATAATGAATAGGATTATCTGGACAGGGGGGACCTGATCCTAGATCAGCTTTTATTTACATTTTTGTCCAGATAGCTAGATGAGACACTCCTACTCTGAGACTCTTTATGGAAATGGACCCAGAGCTTTCCTGCACTCCTAGTCCTGTCATTTCACTTAATGTACTTGAACGTAGGAGCACAGTAGTCTATTTACTTGAAAGATGGAGCACATTGAGAAATACAAGGTCCTGCTATATCTTTACTAACACTGCAGGGGTCATGAACTGCCCGGCCACAGATCTTGGCAATAATCCTCAATTGGATGGACAAGTGACCATATCCTCAATTAATCCCAAACAATAATCTCAAATAATAATGGAAAATGTTTTTAACTGCTCACAAAAGTATTATGTCTTAACATGTATGCACAAACACACACATGAAAATAAGTGATAAAAATAACATGTCATATAGATGATCATAACTAATGATCATAACTACCAGATCCACAGCACATTTATTGAACTGATTTATTGAATGTATAGATTTTTAAAGAAGCACTGTATATCATGATCAAGGAAACAGATTTGTCTGGGAAATTAACATGAATGGAGTTATAGAGCTTAACAGACCAGTTATAGGCTTTAGCAGACCAGAGGCAGTCGTTCCAGAAAGCTGTGTATTGTCCAGTCATTACATTTACATTGTAGTCATTTAGCAGATGCTCTTATCCAGAGCGACTCACAGTTAGTGAGTGCATACATTTTCATACTGTTATCTGCTAGAATAGTTATTCCCAGTCTTACTTAAGCCTTAACCTATTCATCTGAGCTTGCAGTAGTTAACATGTAATAAGACATTTATAATGTGTTATAAACCCTTTATAAACATGTATGAAACATTTATTAGCTCTGGGACTGTGCATGAAAAAGATAAACACACTAAAAAAGTCTCATTCAAATAGAAACACATTATTGTTTTGTTCAGTCTGTTCAGGCTGTTCAGTCTGTTCAGTCTGTTCAGTCGGTTCGGTCTGTTCAGGCTGTTCAGTCTGTTCAGTCTGTTCAGGTCTGTTCAGTCTGTTCAGGCTGTTCAGTCTGTTCAGTCTGTTCAGGTCTGTTCAGGCTGTTCAGTCTGTTCAGGCTGTTCAGTCTGTTCAGTCTGTTCAGTCTGTTCAGTCTGTTCAGGCTGTTCAGGCTGTTCGGTGTTCAGGCTGTTCAGTCTGTTCAGTCTGTTCAGTCTGTTCGGTCTGTTCAGTCTGTTCAGTCTGTTCAGTCTGTTCAGTCTGTTCGTCTGTTTGGTCTGTTCAGTCTGTTCAGTCTGTTCAGGCTGTTCAGTCTGTTCAGTCTGTTCAGTCTGTTCAGTCTGTTCAGTTGTTAGTCTGTTCAGTCTGTTCAGCCTGTTCAGTCTGTTCAGTCTGTTCAGTCTGTTCAGTCTGTTCAGTCTGTTTCAGTCTGTTCAGTCTGTTCAGTCTGTTCAGGTCTGTTCAGTCTGTTCAGTCTGTTCAGTCTGTTCAGTGTTCAGTCTGTTCAGTCTGTTCAGTCTGTTCAGTCTGTTCAGTCTGTTCAGGCTGTTCAGTCTGTTCAGTCTGTTCAGTCTGTTCAGTTGTTCAGTCTGTTCAGTCTTTTTAAATGTGTATTTTACTATCTTGAAGCTGCTGCTATGTCAATAAAAATCTATATTCTTAAAATGTCAAGTGTGAATTGATGAATTGATTCTATGGTCTATGTGTGCTTCCATCTTCATTGAAATAATCAATGGGTGGGTCCATAAATAATTTTTTTTGTAAATGAGCTATTGGTCTGCACACACAGCAAAACTACACACGCACACACACACACACACACACACACACACACACACACACACACACACACACACACACACACACACACATGCACAACTAACCAGACTCCTTGTTTTCTGTAAACCTGCACCTCTGAGTCACCTGTTGAAGGTAAAGTGCAGCTCAATGCTGTAACATTCCGTTTTCTAGAGTTCAGCTCTGTTGGATCCACAACGGAACTCTGGGATTTGGTTAGAGATATTGAAATATCTTGAGAAATCTTTGGTTAGAGATATTGATATACCATCAAAAATGAAAAACAAAAGATTCTCCAAGTGCAGCTTAACGTTTGGGGGAAGTGTCCCTTTAAGAGAGGAAGTTGTTACAAGTGAAAGTAACTTTCAGAAGTTATTCCAGCAGTGAAAATGGCTTAGACATCGTGTGTCCCAGAGGAGGACCTCTCCTGTCCTGTATGCTGTGACATCTTCAAGAATCGTGTCCTCCTGTCGTGTAGCCACGGCTTCTGTAAGGCCTGTCTATAGGAATGCTGGACTGAGAAAGTATCTCAGGAATGTCCAGTTTGTAGGAGATTTTCGATGTCTGAACCTCCATGTAACTTGGCTCTAAAGAACCTGTGTGAGGCCTTCTTACAGGAGAGAAGTCAGAGAGCTTCAGCAGGGTCTGAGGTGCTCTGCAGTGTACATTGTGAGAAACTCAAACTCTTCTGTCTGGAGGATAAACCGCCTGTCTGCTTGGTGTGTCAGGCCTCAAAGAAACATAAATCTCATGACTGCGTCCCCATAGATAAGGCTATACAGGATCATAAGGTAAGAGAAAGACAACCATTTGGAAATCTGTGATAGAGCAATATGGTATAAACAATCATATTTGAACTTTTTGATTGATTGAAAATCAGGCTGCAGTGATAGAGTTGTGGTGTTCAGATGTTCTCTCAAGAGGTTCTGTCTCATTCCAGGAGGAACTCCAGACTGCTCTGGAGCTCTTACAGGAGAAGGAGAAGGTCTTTAGTAAAGTTAACAAACCTGTGATAAAACAACAGAGCACATTAAGATCAGTACTGTATATGTTGTTCAGGGTTAATTGTTCAGTTATATATTTTCTTGTTCTGTTCAGTATTAGATTATGTTGCTTTAGGAAAGATGTGGTGTCACATGTCAGGATCTGCAAGCATATTCACTAGCAGTTTTATGTTACAATAATATTATCCCTATATGAATATTCTGAGATATTAGATCTCTTCCTCCCAATGCCTCCAGAGCCAAGCCAGCACACAGACACGCAGATTAAGGAGGAGTTTGAGAAGCTTCACCAGTTTCTACGAGCAGAAGAGGAGGCCAAGATAGCTGCACTGAAGGAGGAAGAGGAGCAGAAGAGGCAGATGATGAAGGAAAAGATGGAGAGATGAGCTGAGAGATATTATCACTTTCAGACACAATCAGAGCCATAGAAGAGGACATCTTGTTCCTCCAGGTAAGAACTTCTCACTCTCTCTCCAATGTACAGGTAGATTGTAAAATAATTAAAAGACTGACTATGATATGGTCCTCTGTAGCTCAGCTGGTAGAGCACGGCGCTTGTAACGCCAAGGTAGTGAGTTCGATCCCCGGCACCACCCATACACAAAAAATGTATGCACGCATGACTGTAAGTCGCTTTGGATAAAAGCGTCTGCTAAATGGCATATTATTTTAATTTTATTATTGATATCATTGATGGTATGATGACTAATCTACTATTCTGTTCCTCTTCAGAACTTCATGACCATGAAGAAAAGGTCAATTATCTGCCTTTTGTCTCTGTCTTTTCTGTTCTGAGCAGCACTGACTCCTGAATGTTCTTCCAGAGCCCAGTACACCCTACCAGATCCACAGCTGGTCTCAGGAGCGCTGATAGACGAAGCCAATCACCTGGGCAACCTACAGTTCAGAGTCTGGGAAAAGATGCAGGGGATTGTCAAACGCAGTGAGTACTGGACAAGAGAGGATGTGGTTGAGAATAACAATCGATTCTTTAATTGAATCTAAAATAGATGGTTTACATTTTTCACATTTACATTTTAGTCATTTAGCAGACGCTCTTATCCAGAGCGACTTACAGTTAGTGCATACATTATATTTTTTTCCCCCTGTGGGAATCGAACCCACAACCCTGGCATTGCAAACGCCATGCTCTACCAACTGAGCTACATCCCCTGCCGGCCATTCCAGTTTAATATGTGTCTAATAAAATAGTATAGTCTACAGGGTTTACAATGTCTCTGTGTTTGTTTTGAAGCTCCGGTGATTCTGGACCCCAACAATGCAAACCCCAGTATCTCTCTGTCTAATGATCTGACCAGTGTGAGACATTTAGCCAAAAGGCAGCAGCTCCCTGACAACCCAGAGAGATTCATGAAATATGCAAATGTTCTGGGCTATGAGGGGTTCAGCTCAGGAAAGCACAGCTGGGAGGTGGAGGTGGGGGACCATCCTGACCGGAACCTGGGTGTGGCTAAAGAGTCTGTTGACAGGAAGGGGGAGCTGAAGGCATCACCAAAGTATGGAATCTGGATTCTACCGCTGAAGAATGGTAAGTATACAGGAGGACAAGGTGAGACCCTCCCTCTGAAGACAAGACCCCAGAGTGATCAGAGTACAGCTGGACTACAACAGGTGGGAGGTGTCCTTCTACGACCCCAAACATATGACACATAGCTACACTCATAAAGACACATTTAATGAGAGGCTCGACCCATACGTCTCTATTGGAACAGCTGGTGATTCCAACAACCCTGTTAAACAGGTCTACCAATCAGAGGTGTCTCTGACAGTCATCTCAATTTTTATTTTATTTTTTATTAATTTTTTTGTCATTTAGCAGACGCTCTTATCCAGAGCGACTTACAGTTTGTGAGTGCATGCATTAATTTAATTTTTTTCATACTGGCCCCCCATGGGAATCGAACCCACAACGCCATGCTCTACCAACTGAGCTACATCCCTGCCGGCCATTCCCTCCCCTACCCTGGACGACGCTGGGCCAATTGTGCGCCGCCCCATGGGTCTCCCAGTCGCAGCCGGCTACAACAGAGCCTGGATTCGAACCAGGATCTCTAGTGGCACAGCTAGTACTGTGATGCAGTGCCTTAGACAATGAGAAGAGTTTGTTTGAAATAATAATGATTATTAAAAAATATATTTCTGTGCTTTATAGAAACTATAGAACAGAAACATTCCTATAATGTGAATTATTATAATAGTCAGTATAGCTATAGCTTTTAAGAATCCATTTTTTATAATAGTCACTATTTCCAGGGTAGATCATGAATTTTCATTCTTACACTGCCCTCGGAAAATCTCACCAAAAGGGAAATTATTTATTTTTAATACAACACATGTTTAACCTATAAGTTACAACATATTTCTGTGACTAACCAACTAAAAAACATCCCTATGAAACGAATATAAGACTATGTAACCTAAAGCTATAGAATCTGAGGTGACTCTTCTGTGTGGGCCAAATAAGAGCTCCCTCCCTCCTCTCTCTCTCTCTCTCTCTCTCTCTCTCTCTCTCTCTCTCTCTCTCTCTCTCTCTCTCTCAATTCAATTTCAATTTAAGGGCTTTATTGGCATGGGAAACGTGTGTTAACATTGCCAAAGCAAGTGAAATAGATAATAAACAAAAGTGAAATAAACAATAAATATTAACAGTAAACATTACACTCAGAAGTTTCAAAAGAATAAAGACATTTCAAATGTCATATTATGTCTATATACAGTGTTGTAACGATGTGCAAATAGTTAAAGTACAAAAGAGAAAATAAATAAACATAAATATGGGTTGTATTTACAATGGTGTTTGTTCACTGGCAACAGGTCACAAATCTTGTTGCTGTGATGGCACACTGTGGTGTTTCACTCAATAGATATGGGAGTTTACCAAAATTTGATTTGTTTTCGAATTCTTTGTGGATCTGTGTAATCTGAGGGAAATATGTGTCTCTAATATGGTCATACATTTGGCAGGAGGTTAGGAAGTGCAGCTCAGTTCCCACCTCATTTTGTGGGCAATGTGCACATAGCCTGTCTTCTCTTGAGAGCCAGGTCTGCCTACAGCGGCCTCTCTCAATAGCAAGGCTATGCTCACTGAGTCTGTACACAGTCAAAGCTTTCCGTCATTTTGGTTCAATCACAGTGGTCAGGTATTCTGCCACTGTGTACTCTCTGTTTAGGGCCAAATAGCATTCTCGTTTGCTCAGTTTTTTTGTTAATTCTTTCCAATGTGTCAAGTAATTATCTTTTTGTTTTCTCATGATTTGGTTGGGTCTAATTATGTTGCTGTCCTGGGGCTCTGTGGGGTCTGTTTGTGTTAGTGAACAGAGCCTCAGGACCAGCTTGCTTAGGGGACTCTTCTCCAGGTTAATCTCTCTGTAGGTAATGGCTTTGTTATGGAAGGTTTGGGAATCCCTTCCTTTTAGGTGGTTGCATGCATTATTTGGTGTTTTACGTTGTACACAGGGGATATTTTTGCAGAATTCTGCATGCAGTCTCAGTTTGGTGTTTGTCCCATTTTGTGAATTCTTGGTTGGTGAACGGACCCTCTCTCTCACACTCTCTCGCTCTCTCTCTCTCTCTCTCGCTCTCTCTCGCTCTCTCTCTCTCTGACCCGGCTGCATGGTGGAGATATGTTGATTTGATTTTAGATTTGTTCACTTCTGTATAGAATTATATACACTGCTCAAAAAAAGAAAGGGAACACTTAAACAACACAATGTAACTCCAAGTCAATCACACTTCTGTAAAATCAAACTGTCCACTTAGGAAGCAACACTGATTGACAATAAATGTCACATGCTGTTGTGCAAATGGCATAGACAACAGGTGGAAATTATAGGCAATTAGCAAGACACCCCCCAATAAAGGACTGGTTTTGCAGGTGTTGACCACACCACTTCTCAGTTCCTATGCTTCCTGGCTGATGTTTTGGTCACTTTTGAATGCTGGCGGTGCTTTCACTCTAGTGGTAGCATGAGACGGAGCCTACAACCCACACAAGTGGCTCAGGTAGTGCAGCTCATCCAGGATGGCACATCAATGCGAGCTGTGGCAAGAAGGTTTGCTGTGTCTGTCAGCGTAGTGTCCAGAGCATGGAGGCGCTACCAGGAGACAGTCCAGTACATCAGGAGACGTGGAGGAGGCCGTAGGAGGGCAACAACCCAGCAGCAGGACTGCTACCTCCGCCTTTGTGCAAGGAGAAGCAGGAGGAGCACTGCCAGAGCCCTGCAAAATGACCTCCAGCAGGCCACAAATGTGCATGTGTCTGCTCAAATGGTCAGAAACAGACTCCATGAGGGTGGTATTAGGGCCCGATGTCCACAGGTGGGGGTTGTGCTTACAGCCCAACACCGTGCAGGACGTTTGACATTTGCCAGAGAACACCAAGATTGGCAAATTCGCCACTGGCGCCCTGTGCTCTTCACAGATGAAAGCAGGTTCACACTGAGCACATGTGACAGACGTGACAGAGTCTGGAGACGCCGTGGAGAATGTTCTGCTGCTTTCAACATCCTCCAGCATGACCGGTTTGGCGGTGGGTCAGTCATGGTGTGGGGTGGCATTTCTTTGGGGGGCCGCACAGCCCTCCATGTGCTCGCCAGAGGTAGCCTGACTGCCATTAGGTACCTAGATGAGATCCTCAGACCCCTTGTGAGACCATATGCTGGTGCAGTTGGCCCTAGGTTCCTCCTAATGCAAGACAATGCTAGACCTCATGTGGCTGGAGTGTGTCAGTAGTTCCTGCAAGAGGAAGGCATTGATGCTATGGACTGGCCCGCCCGTTCCCCAGACCTGAATCCAATTGAGCACATCTGGGACATCATGTCTCACTCCATCCACCAACGCCACGTTGCACCACAGACTGTCCAGGAGTTGGCGGATGCTTTAGTCCAGGTCTGGGAGGAGATCCCTCAGGAGACCATCCGCCACCTCATCAGGAGCATGCCCAGGCATTGTAGGGAGGTCATACAGGCACGTGGAGCCTCATTTTGACTTGTTTTAAGGACATTACATCAAAGTTGGATCAGGCTGTAGTGTGGTTTTCCACTTTAATTTTGAGGGTGACTCCAAATCCAGACCTCCATGGGTTGATACATTTGATTTCCATTGATAATTTTTGTGTGATTTTGTTGTCAGCACATTCAACTATGTAAAGAAAAAAGTATTTAATAAGATTATTTCATTCATTCAGATCTAGGATGTGTTATTTTAGTGTTCGCTTAATTTTTTTGAGCAGTGTATATACAGTGAGGGAAAAAAGTATTTGATCCCCTGCTGATTTTGTACGTTTGCCCACTGACAAAGAAATTATCAGTCTATAATTTTAATGGTAGGTTTATTTGAACTGTCACGGATTCAGCCGAGGCTGCTCCTCCTCCTTGCTCGGGCAGGCTTCGGCGTTCGTCGTCCCCGGAGTACTAGCTGCTACCGATCTATGTTTCGGTGGTCGTCTTGTTTGGGCTTTATTGTTTACACCTGTTTCCCATTATGTTACATTGTATTCCCTTTATAACCCCCTGTCTCTCATTGGTTATTGTGTGTGATTGTTTTCCGTAAGGTCGGCATTGCTGTTTGTATGAGAGTATTGTTTCCTCCCTGTTAGGAGGTTTTGTTTTTGTATGTTCCTTTACTGTGTAGTAAAGTACGTCTGCCAGTAGCTCGGTGTCCTGCGCTTGACTTCGTTCACCGCATACACGTCACCCTTGACAGAATCACACACCACACATGGAGTCAGCAGGAGCTGTCCATGGAACGGGTGGTGAGCACTATGGAGCGATGGGAAAGAGGGGTGCCTACACCTCCTCCGACGATACCCATCGGCGATGCCCATCGCTTCACCTCCGGGGTCCAGTGGGATTCGGCTCTCGCTCCCGAGGGCTTATGATGGCACAGCTGCCGGGTGTCAGGGTTTCCTGCTCCAGGTTGAACTCTACCTGGCAACCATCCACCAGGTGCCCTCGGGATACGAGAGCGTGTCCGCCCTCATCTCCTGTCTGTCCGGCAAGGCGCTGGAGTGGGCCAACGCCGAGTGGGGGGGAATAGACGCCGCTACTGTCAACTATGCGTCTATTCCACCTCAGACAGGGGAGGAGGAGCGCACAGGAGTTCGCACTGGACTTCCGGACGCTGGCTGCCAACGCGGGATGGAATGACCACTACAGATTTAGCCTGAGGGAGGACGTGCGTCGGGAATTGGCCTATATTATATTGTGCTCAGAGTGTAATATACTGTGTGTCCTCTTACTGTAATCCTAATATAATAATAATTATAATAATTATAATATCTCTGGTGGACAGATGAGAGAATCTGTCAAGGCTCACGTGGAAATATGTGATTACGAGCAGCAGTAGTATTTCCTGGTTTTTGATTTTCGTCGTTGATTATTTGGAGGAATCAGGATTGGGCGAAAGGCGGTGCTTAAACTGATGCAGTAATTTTCAAGCCAGTGTGCGGATGATAAACGGTTTCCACTAGATTCCACAGCCACAAAGTCAAAATTGACTATATTGTCAAAATTCATGAAACAAAAATGTGCTTTTTGGCCATGATAAACATGGGTGAAATCTGCGGAAGGGAGGGGTTTGCCCGAGAGTTTCCGTTTACGAGGGAGGAGACTTTGCTTCCTTCCTTTGCACAAAGGAACACAGACACACACACA